GAATGAGAGTAGTCTGTTGCTTATCCCAACTACTGCTTGTTCCTTTTATCTGTACTGATTTACTCCCCTTATCTGCATAAGTCTGTCCATCAAGAAATTCAAAGAGTAGTGGAATTTTGTCCTTATTGACTATTGAGTGTAGCCAGTACCTTCCCACATCTCTTATCTTATCACTGGATCTGGGTCGTACTTGGGAGTTACAGTGGTTAAACTGGAGCCAATTACGTATTACCTTGAGATAGTTAACGGGAATCTTTTAGGATTTGTTTGTTGTAAATCATAAAGAAATATCATGATGTACGAGAAAACCTAAAAGCCAGCTAGTTGAAAAGCTAAGTTCAAGAGGATCTTGATCTGGATAAGCCTCACAAAAAACTTGGTATGCTTGTCAATTAACCCAAAATTTTCGTACTGGTTTTTCTCTCCTCCCTTCTCTTCTGATATCTTGCATATAAGATTTCCTCCAAAGCAGTCTACTTGCAGTATTTCCTACTCTCTCGAAAACACCGTTCTCCTTGCTTTGAATCTACAATTATTTTATGATTTTTACGCCAATCATGCAATGTCGTAATGGGTACTATGAAGCGGTCTGAAACCTCTCGAATAAATGGTAGTTGGAGTTTAGATGAACTAGTCTGAGCTTCTCCCTGCTGTTCGGCGCTACTAACTGGTATCCACTCATGGGTCCACCAATGGAGAACTTTAATCTTATACTCACAAGTATATGATCACTGGGGCTGAGTTCTTGGTTTACCATACTGAAGACTTTTTCGGTTTGAAATTAGCTTTGGGCAATATCTGGACTGGATCTGTTAGACAAATTTCAATTCATCAGTATATTTAAAAAACCACTCATTAATTAATTCTAGAGTACTAACTAACCTTTCACTTACCTAGAGGCCTGGTTTCTTCATTTTCAATAGGTGAATTCGTTGGTGAGTATCTATTGTTTGTTGAATTAAGTAGTTAGTTGATATCTATAATTCTGAGTTGCAGCAGTATGCCTAATATTGTGTCCAAGCACGATATGAACTATAGAGAGAATGTGTATTTTCTCTTAATATCCCTTAAATTTACTGCTAGTATTACATCTTCAGTATATCATTCAGCTTACCCCCTCCTGTACTGTTCACACAATAGCTACATATGAGAAAAACAGTTCTCAATTCTTCAATATGGCACTCCTGACGTCGAGTTAAGGTAGTTCTCTGTGTCTGCAGTCCCTGGATAACAGGAGCCTAAGGTGTAGCAACTCCACTAACAACCTCATTTAGGGCCAAGTACAATTTCGGGTTTACCTAAAAAATGTGGTATCATAACTTAAGGTAGGTAAGCTGTTGGTGATTCAAGGTCTGTAATGATTCTGAAGTAGTGGGTGAGATAGTTTGACAACCAAACGGCTAGCTGTAAATCCACATTTAATCTAGAGCAGGTGCCATTTTCTTCAATCGTCCACCCAGATGACTTCTTTAGTTCTGGAGTGTTTGTTGGTTTGCTTTTATCATTTTAAGTGTATTGAACTGCAATGTTTATCCTTTTTGTGTAATTCCGGAGGAGCTGGAGCCCAGGATCTAAGTTATATCTAATGTGTCGCATTTCATTTCAAGACACTGAGATATCCCATGAATGGATGAGACATGCAAATTCATGGCCTTCCTAGTTAGGTTAGTACTTGCAAAAAAAAACATATATTAGTAAGCCATTCTTGTAACCTCACCTAAACGATCATAGATAATTGTGATTCCACTTAAATTGATCAAAATAGATTCAGCCCAACAGTCAGTTCTTTGCAAGCGGGAAATAAACATTATAACAGTACCAAAGGAAAGCCGCAAACGGCCTCCTACAAGTAAACCAACTGAAGAGATTTCGGTAAGTTCTGTTACATAGTGGAATGGAGGGCACATAGCTGGAAACTATAATTACTGAGTTATGTATCACAGGTAAAAAAAGTCAAGAGTGCACCGAAGAGGCTAGAGGAGAAAGTGAAGAAGATATCGGCAGAGAATGCGAAAATCCTGGAAAGCCTACCCGAACCCCCAGAATTCGAAGCATATGAAAGTCCATTTTTGGCACATCTAGCAAGTCCAATTCTCCCACCTGAATTCGGCAGCAACCTTGAACCGCTTGCTCTCTTCAACCTGTTTTTTGGAAATGATATCTTAGCCCAAATTATTACCAATACCAACCGCTATGCAGAAATCAAACAGCAAACAGCTGAGGGCAACCAAGACTCCTCAGTTACTATTAGCCCATCTATACCAATGCCTCCTATTCTACCCAGTATCCTCCACCCAGAGTCAGTTCTGCATATACCATACCAACCCATTCTCGACCCTCCAGCTATACATCCTAGTGTACCACTTATTGTCTCAGAACCTCAGTCTTTCTCACAGCCTTGGTACCCAATTAGTGTAGAAGAATTGCGAATCTTTATAGGATTGCAGATATGAATGGGGGTACATTCCTTACCTGCTATTGAGAATCACTGAAATCAGGAGATACGACATCCGAATATGTACAACATGTCCTGTCATCGGTATAAATAAATAAAACGTTATTTCCATATTTCACCACCAGATGAGACTTATGATCGGGTAAACTAGTGGTGTAAATTGGAGCCACTTGCATCTCACCTGCGCCAGCGTTTCCAAGAACACTTCCGGCCATCCTTGAATGTTTCATTCGATGAAATGATGGTTCTCTGTAAAGGCCAGTCAGCATACACTATCAAAATGCCCTGAAAGCCAATAGATCAGTGGTATAAAATCTATGCTCTCTGTGACCAGGGATATACGTATCTGTTTTTATTTTATTCTAGTGCTGTGGGGAATGAGGTTAGTGACTTTATCAAAACGACCAATCAGTATACGAATATTAGCAAGGAACGCTCTCTTACCTTGTTTAATTCCAGTAGGCAACAACTTTTAGTTGAAGAAGAAAAAAAACTTTCAAGCGGCTTTTCCCCGACCACCCAGGCAGTATGCCATCTTGTTTTTACCCTCCCATTCCTGTCCAGTTAGTTTAACATCTATATTGACAATTACTTTATCAATATTCCCTTATTCTGGTACCTGAGGGACTACAGAATTGGCACTGTTGGCACTACTTAGGCCAAGTGTCATGATTTCCCTTCTGCTTTTTCAATTAGTAAAAAGATAACCTCGAAGGTTTTGGAATAGAATCACCTCTCGGGTATTATAGTCAATAGTGTTTGTACTACCCTATGGCAGAACAATAATACAGTTTTTCTTTTAACTACAATTCACAATCTTCGTTAGCTAGTTCTCAGTAATCGCAAAAAACCAAAAAAAAACAGCTCCGATGCAGTTGTAACGTGTTTGCAAAGTGCTAATCACGTTATCGGTAATAGATATGATAGTTGGCAGGTGGCCTGCTCTTCCAGAGAGGAGGCGAGAGCTGAGAACTAAAGGAGGCTTCGAGGGTGTACTGAGGAACAAAGAAGTAACTGTTCAACCAAGTATATTGAAATACTGTCTGTCGAAGTCTGCCTTTTCCATTGTGGGATCAGGCGGTCTTTAAATACACAAAATCTTGTCCATGTCTAGCATGAAAGAAACTAATCAAAGGTATCAAGAGATACTCTTTGGTAAAACAAACCAAGTATTAAATGATACTTAAAACAAACCAAGTATTAAAGCGATACTTAAAACAAAACATAAAATAAACTAAGTATCAAATGATACTTAAAACAACCAAGTATCAAAACGATACTTAAAACAATACATAAAACAAAACTAAGTATCAAACGATACTTAAAACAAAACATAAAACAAACTAATAACTGAGTACCCATACCGGTTACAGTAGTAGCTGCAAGAAAGCCATTTGGAGACAGTGAACACCAAAATCCTCTGCCCATTCCAGCTCTCATTGACGACTACAACAAGTACATGGGTGGGGTCGACATCGCCGACCAGCTTTGAAGTAATTATCTGTCGCATCAAACCAGTCAACGTAATTGGCTTCCGCTCTGGTTTTGGATTCTGAATACGGTGATTACAAATACCTACCTCATTGCTCGCTTGGTTAACCCCAAGTATGAGCATAAAGCCTTCCGCCGTAAGCTTGCTCTTGCCCTTACTGAGACTGGCTGGTCTCAGCTACATCCTCTTCTTACAAACCCTAAACCCAACCCGTATGCCTATGTCCCAGCAAAGACATCCTTACCGCCTTTCTCTTTTCGTATCACTGGTGCCCATCTACAAACATTTTTACTGAATAAAAAATACCAATGCTGGTATTGCCGGTTTAAAAAATGTCAAGGCGACCCTAAAAACCTCCCGCCAATATGTGAACGGGCTGAGATTCTACAAAAAATAAAGGTAAGTGAGACAGGTATTTGGTGCACTTTATGTGAGATACCTCTTTGTAAGCGAAATAAGTGCTTTTTCGATTTTCATACTATTCTGTGATGGCTTTTGGTTTGTTTTCCTACAAATGGCATTATTCTTAGAATTGGCTTTTCGGTTGAATTTGATATCACGTGAGCAAATTAACTACAATCTTCTGCCAAGACCCTTGGTTCTAGCTACCATATTAGGAAGGCCGTGAATCTGCATGTCTCATCCGTCCATGGGATAGGCCATCCTTGCCTCCTTTCCCCCACCCCCCTCCTCTTCTCGAGAGGCAATAAAGCTTAAAAAAAACCATACTTTTATTCTCCTGGAATATGGAAGCGTTTGGACGGCTTTTTTTTACTAAATTTTAACGGGTATTTATCAAGCCATCACTGGTCAACCTAGAGTGTAGATCCTGTTCGCAGTTATTCGTTCTCGCAGTATAGTTCTCTATGATAAAATATATTGAATCTCTCACTGGCCAAGTGACCCATGATCCAATAGGAACGAGTTCGCCTCACTTATCCTTAATATCTGGTATATGAACCCCCCCCCCTACATGTAATAACCTCCGGTGCATGGACTGTACAGTATGTTGTATTAAAAATACAAGAGAGAAAGATCTAATTTATTTTGCTCCTACTGCCCCTCCGAACCAAATGTAGTTGCCAACTCCTGATACTGCTCTCTACGATCCTCCGATACTGAAGGCCTGATGTTTGCGGATGCCTTTTCGAAATGCTCCATTGTGACCACTACTTGGTTTTTGCCTTCCTCAACTTCACCAACTCCTATGAAGCAGGACTCTCGAAGAGCTAGAGTCGTGGCCCGTTTCACCAATGCCGCTAGATCAGCGCCACTAACACAATATTAGTAATAGGAGATGGAGGATGTATCGGGAGGATGTATCGGGAGGATGTATCAAGCTAGACTAACCTGAAATTTTTACACCTACTATGCTCTGCAATAGCCCTTAAATCGACGTTGTTGGAGAGCGGTGTCTTTTTTGTGATAGTTTTCAAAATCTCTAATCTCCCCTCGGCATTTTGGAAGGTCAACAAACAAAAGTGTATCCAATCTCCCTGGTCTGAGTATTGACGGATCAATCATATCGGGTCTATTAGTTGCTGCAATAATATAGATTCCCTTGCGGTCATTGAAGCCATCTAATTCAGTGAGAAGAGTATTGACTACACGAGAAGAGGACTCCGAAAGATTGTCATTACGATGAGGAGCTAGAGCATCCAATTCATCAAAAAAGATAATACAAGGAATGGAAGCTTGGGCTCGCGAGAAAACCTGTCGGACGGCCCGTTCTGATTCTCCGATGTACTATACTGGTCAGTAGGTGGCTTTACGACAGCGGGTTATTGAAAATCAGAATTGGTACCTTGTTAAGCAATTCCGGACCCCGGATGCTAATGAGATTTGCACCACTCTCATTTGCAATGGCCTTTGCCAGCAAGGTCTTACCACACCCTGGAGGGCCCCAAAGAAGTACTCCGGACGGCGCAGTGAGCCCCACACTAGCAAAAAGTTCCGGCTTCTTGATTGGCAGCACAATGGCCATCTGCAATTCAGCCTTATGTGACTCCAGGGCCCCAACATCCGCCCAGGTAACATCAGGGACTGTTGCAAAACCCTCTCTTTTGGAAGACGGTTGAATCCTCGTAAGGCCGGTTAAAAAATCTGGGAACGTTATATAGAGTGGATCCAATTGCTTTCGAGTAAGTCGATGTGGGTGTGCGCGAAGGAAACATTGAATCGAGCTTAGAGACCCTGACTTCGGAGCAACAGGCCCGAGTACTGGCGCTGATAGTGGAGGGGAGTCGACTCGATCCATGTCCATGTTCGCTGAACCACCTAACCGGGCAACAGTTGGCACCTCTAAAGAGTCAGTAGCGGCTGATGGGTTTTCAAGGATTTCGTAGATTCGTCTCATTGCTACCATGCCGGCCTCTCTGGCCAAAGCACTTAGATCAGCTCCAACGAACCCGGCAGTTTTTTTGGCCAATTTTTTGAAGTCAAAATCCCCTATTAACCTCAACTTCTCACATAGTATCCTCAAGATCCTGTTAGACATGATATAATTAGTAAACTAGTACATACTTGAGAAATTAATATCAGGGGTAATCTGGGGTAGCACTTCTCTCTTCCAACTTCATCTGGCACACCAAGGTAAATTTCCTTATCAAATCTTCCAGCTCTTCTCAATGCTGGATCTAGGCTGTCGGGTCGGTTTGTTGCTCCAATGATCATGACAGGTTTCCCACCAGTCTTCTCCAATGCGAGATCGTCCATACAGGTCAACATCTGGGCAACAATTCTTCTCTCCATATCCCGCTGGGTGTTGTCCCTCTTCTGTGTTATAGCGTCTATTTCATCCATAAACATTAAGCAAGGGGCTATTCCCCGAGCTTCCTCAAAAAGTTCCCGAAGCATCTTTTCCGGTTCTCCAGACACTCCCGATACAATTGAGGGTGCGGAAATAGCAATAAATGGTAGCCCAACCTCTCTGGCAATAGCATTTGCTAGCATAGTTTTTCCGCAGCCAGGTGGTCCATGGAGAAGTACACCGCAAGGGGGCTGCACTCCAGTATGTAGGTTAACTTCTGGGTGGGCTAGAGGCATGGCGATGAACTCTAAAAGATCATTGATGACCTCTTCTCTGCCGCCAATATTCTTCAAGCAGATGTTCTTGGGTGGCTCGCGAGAGTTGTCTTGTTTCTGACGTTTTGTTGGTTCTCCATCTTTGGCCGGCCAGCGTTCCCTTCGTTTTTGGGGTGCCGGCGATGTAGGTATGGTGCTGTCAGCTACTTGCTGATTAACCGTGTTCGATTGCTGGTGGAGGTTTAAGCATTAGTATAATTTTGGATTTTGGATTTGGATGTTTCAGGTATTGTTGTACAGTACCTTCAGCCCTATCAGGTCCTCTTCATTCAGTTCCTCAATCTCACCTAAGTCACTATCCAGACCATCGGCCTTAGCCTCTTCACCTCGTACTGTGGCTAAGGCCTTTTCAATCATCTTCTCTAGATTCCGTCTCCTCTGCCTTGTCATACTCCTGTCCGTGGTAACATATGGGTAAACCTTCGAGACCGACAAATACAGAGAGCCGTTATTTCCTTCAGTAACTGAATGTTCGTCAATATACCTCCGAACTATAGCAAGCACCCTTCGTTCAAGCCCTTTATTCAAGGATTGCCTGTTGCCGGCCATTGTGAGCATTCGTTGTTCCCAGAATGGGGTTGTGAGATATTTGTATCGCTGCCTTTGGCCAACCTGTGATTAGAGGAAAGAGAAGAAAGTCTTTACAGCGTGTTGTGGTGCATGCCTTTAAGACGGAATAGTGGTAGGGTAGTCCAACCCGGAACCCGTTTCGACCGATTCGGGAGCTGCAGGGAGGAGGATGGGCCGATTTGCGAATCTAGTAAAAAATATCTCCAGTCCCGACTGACCTGCTGTTTGACCACGAGAGGAGAACACCCTTCCTTTATACCCCCTGAATGGTAGGTATTCGTAACAGTTTTCCCAATCTTCCACAAAATGATGCACAATTACATCACAACTGCAAAGACGATTCCCCCCCCAAGAGTATACAATTGCCGGTGTATGGTCACGTGAAAAGGAAGGATCGAATCTGGCCTTTTTCCTCTTCCGCTCATCCCCTCGTACAGTATGTGTGCAAGCTTCGCAGCTTTTCAAATGGCTAATAGCCTCGTTTGACCTCGGATCTTTCCAGTGCATGAAACAACTTCCAGGGTATGTATGGTACCGGCACCTTAGAATCAACTTTCACAAGAACCAAACTTTCCCAACTTTTCGACAAACAACATTGCATGCCATTACTTCACTTATTCCTTCCGTACCATGATCGTAAATCATGAAAAGAAAACATTTATAGAGTAGATTTTAATCTGGAAGGTGATTCCTTCCGAACTTGTAATAGCTCTTAAAATTGAGGCAAAATTTGGGTTGAGCCGGGGGGTTGGCGCCCGCACGTAGTAAAAAAGGGTTGGCTGAGTAATATGCCAATATATTGTCTAAGATAGTAAGGTCACATACTGCATTAGAACTAGTATACAGTCACACCTAGATAATGAACCCCGTTATAATGAATCCCTGGCTATAAGGAACAATTCCTCCCAGTCAAGCTAGTGAAATTACTGCAGAGGACAGTTTGCCATACGGAGGCACAGCTCATAAGTTTTGTACGTTCCACAAGCCTAGAGTGCCACACCCTCTGCGCGTGTAACATACAAAACCTAGGAGCTGTACCTCCGTAGTGAACGCCCGTAGTAAAAATTAGTGAACGAGATTTTGGGGTCTTGATTCTTGGCGTTCATTATAGCTAGGTGCGGCTGTACTGACTTTGGGTGGCACTGGGGGACGGTTCTAAGGTGCTAGCACCATACCGGTATATTATTAAAAAACCGCATGGGAGGAACATCTAATCTATTGTGCCGCTCTTCACTCTTCTCCGATGCCAAGGGACCGGCGTCTCCGAACGCCTTCCTGAAATGCCCCCCTCAAATTGGAACAGAGGTCGCCGACACCCCCGCTTCCTCAACTTCAACGATATCTACCAAGCTAGCCTTCTGAATAGCCAGACTCGCGGCCTCCCTTACCAGCACCGCCAGATCAGCGCCGCTAACACAATATCAGTATGGAAGAAGGAGGGTGTATTGAGCAAGACTGACCTAAAATTTTCACACCTGTCACTCTCTGCAATAGCTCTTAAATCGACGTTAAAGAGGGGTATCTTTTTCGTGAGAATTTTCAGGATCTCTAATCTTCCCTCGGCATTTGGAAGGTCCACAAACCAAAGCTTATCTAACCTTCCTGGTTTGAGTATTACTGGATCAATGAAGTCTGGTTTATTAGTTGCCGCAACGATATAGATTCCCTTGCAATCATTGAGGCCATCCAATTCAGTTAGAAGAGTATCGACTGGACGAGAAGAGGGTTCTGAGGAACTATCATCGTGGCGGGGAGCCAGGGCGCCCAACTCATCAAAAAAGATAACACATGGAATGGAAGCTCGGGCGAGTGAGAAAACATGACGGACAGCCCACTCTAGTTCTCCGAAGTGCTATGGTGGTAGTCAGTAGATGGCTTTACAATTGTAGGATTTTGAAATCGAAATTGAAACCTTATTAATAAATTCCGGACCCCGGATGTTTATGAAATTTGCCCCACTCTCATTTGCAATGGCCTTTGCCAGCAAGGTCTTACCACACCCTGGAGGGCCCCAAAGAAGTACTCCGGACGGCGCAGTGAGCCCCACACTAGCAAAAAGTTCCGGCTTCTTGATTGGCAGCACAATGGCCATCTGCAATTCAGCCTTATGTGACTCCAGAGCCCCAACATCTGCCCAGGTAACATCAGGGACCGTTGCAAGACCCTCTCTCTTAGCTAAAGATTGGGTTTTCGTAAGGGCGGTTAAAAAATCTGGGAACGTTATATAGAGCGGATCCAGTTGCTTTTCGGTAAGCCTATCTGGGTATGCTTTGAGAAAGCATTGAATTGAGCTCCGAGACTCTGACTGGGCGGTGGTTGTTACCTCCAAAGGGTCAGTAGCCGCCGATGGATTTCCAAGGATTTCGTAGATTCGTCTCATTGCTACCATGCCGGCCTCTCTGGCCAAAGCACTTAGATCAGCTCCAACGAACCCGGCAGTTTTTTTGGCCAATTTTTTGAAGTCAAAATCCCCTATTAACCTCAACTTCTCACATAGTATCCTCAAGATCCTGTTAGACATGATATAATTAGTAAACTAGTACATACTTGAGAAATTAATATCAGGGGTAATCTGGGGTAGCACTTCTCTCTTCCAACTTCATCTGGCACACCAAGGTAAATTTCCTTATCAAATCTTCCAGCTCTTCTCAATGCTGGATCTAGGCTGTCGGGTCGGTTTGTTGCTCCAATGATCATGACAGGTTTCCCACCAGTCTTCTCCAATGCGAGATCGTCCATACAGGTCAACACCTGGGCAACAATTCTTCTCTCCATATCCCGCTGGGTGTTGTCCCTCTTCTGTGTTATAGCGTCTATTTCACCCATAAACATTAAGCAAGGGGCTATTTCCCGTGCTTCCTCAAAAAGTTTCCTTAGCTTCATTTCCGATTCTCCCGATATTCCTGATACGATTGAGGGTGCGGAAAAGGCAATAAATGGTAGCCCAACCTCTCTGGCAATAGCATTTGCTAGCATAGTTTTTCCGCAGCCAGGTGGTCCATGGAGAAGTACACCGTGAGGCAAGTCCACTCCAGTATGAAGGTAAACCTCTGGGTGGGTTAGAGGCATAGTCATAAACTTCAAAAGATCGTCGACAACCTCTTCTCTGCCGCCAATGTCCTGCAGGGAGATGTCCTTGGGTGGCTCGCGAGAGTTGTTCTGTTTCTGACGCTTTACTAATTCTCCATCTTCGACCGGCCGGCGTTCCTTTCGTTTCTGGGGTGCCGGCGATGCCATTATGGTGTTTCCAGCTATTCGCTTGTTAATCGTATCTGACTCCTAGTGGAGGCTTGAGTGTTAGTATAATTTAAATTCTGAAATGGAGTTGTAGGGTGTTTGTGTCGCTGCCTTTAGCCAACCTGTGATTATAGGGAAGAGAAAAAAGTCTTTGCAGTGTGCTGCGGCAGATCCGTCTGGAGAGAAAGAGAAGCAGGCTATCTCCACCCTGAAGCAGTTTTGGATAATTAGGGAGGCGAGGGAAGAGAAATAAATAAGTTTGCAAAGCAAGTAAAAATATGTCAAGTCTTGATTGACCTGCTGTTTGATCACAAGGGAAAACACCCTTCCTTTATACCAGATACCCCCTGAATCGTAAGTATTCGTAACAGTTTCCCCAGCACCGCGATCCTCCAAGAAATGATGCATAATTATGTCTCCGCAGCTGCAAAGACGATTACGTCCCCAACAGTACGTAGTTGACTGTGTAAACGCCGTCAATTAATTATTCTCAGTGAAATCTCCGTGTATGGTCATGTGAAACTGGAGGAGCGAATTTGGCCTCTATCCTCTTCTGCAAATCTCCTCATATGTGTGCAGATTACACAGCTTTTTAGCTCGGCTGATGGCTCCGCTTAACCTCAGATCTCTCTGAAAGATACTCTCAATTCTCTGACGATTGTGACCACCCAGGGTCCATATTTTCCTCTGATTTTGATGCCTCATCCATGTCCGCTTGCGTAGGGTGTCTTTCGGCGGTCAGTATATACTCTATAAATGGGCTACAGATATCTATGAATACCGTATCTCTCTTTAGATGGCTGCAGCTATTTTCCACGGTTCAGGTCCCGGGCACGTGGTGAGGGATCGGAAACCTTTTGATAGGCTTAAAGCATTGAAAGTAGCGTATTCTGGGCAATTTCCTATCACCCAAATGTTGCAAAATATTATACCTCTCAACTCCGCGCACAGTCCGCTCCTTCAATACAATGAAGCTTCCCTTTAAAGCAATTATCCATTCCGTCGATGAATCTTTCGGATGCCATTAGTGCTGTTTTTAATTGAGTCCCATTTGCCCAAGGAATTGGTCCCGAACTGCCCCTGCGGAGATCACAGGTCTGATGGAGATTGCGGATGGTCCTAGTAAATATAGGTAGTACGATATTGAATTTTTCGAGCGCCCTCAACACCCGGGGTTGATTTGGTAGCCATCCATGAGGGTATGGGTGGCAGCTATGCGCCGAGTTATGGTGTGATTGTAGCATCTGGAGGAAGTGGTCGTTTGGTCGAGAGGATTAAGAAGGATCCCAAAACACCCCCAATAGGCACCCAAGGCACCACTTTCGGACACCATCGCAAAATATCACTCATTCCGGGTATGATACCCCATACCTGTAAGGTACAGTATGATACCAGTCCCAAGCGTAACGTTCGGAGTCTTCTGAACGGGGGGTTCTGAGGATTTAGAGTGTCTCGTCAGACAATATCATCCTGCAAAACAACTGGTAAAGCCTTGCAATCCCTCAGCCACGGATAGAATCTAATCACCTTCCATGGGCTCGTGCCGGTAACAGTCCCTTCTGATAGCTCTCCAAACCCCCGGTTCCTAGACCAAGGTCTATCGGAGCACGATTCGCCAAGCCAAACTTATATCTTGGCACAAGTTCACGTCGCCCGGCCAGTCGCCTGCCGATAGTAAATTTACCAATAACCGCTCCAAACCCAAGAATCCCCGAGTCAAACCAACCAGCCACCACCATCCACATCACCACTCTCGAAACACCTCCACCATCTTCTTCTACTCCATCACTCATCCATGGACCGCTCACCACCACGAGCTCCCCGCGGCGGCGGCCGTCGTGGTTGGGACCGGGACCGCGACCGCGAAGACCGTTACGGGAGAGACTACCGAAAGCGCAGCCGCAGCAGAAGCCCCGACCGACGATACACCGCAAGAAGGAGGAGTCGAAGTCCCGACAGAGGTACCATTCCCGTTACCCATCTTCCCCAAGCTCATCTCCTTACTGACAACTAATAGGCGACTACCGCCGAGACCGGGACAGGGACAGGGAGAGGGAGAGAGATAGAGGTGGAGACAGAGACCGCGGAGGTCGACCTCGAGATAACGATAGAAGGGTCCGCTCCCCCGAACGCCGCCGTCGAAGTCGTTCCCTCCGCGGCAAACGCTCTCTGCCAATCCGCGATCGCACCCGCTCTCGCTCCCCCCCCCCTGCTACTGCCACCACAAAGCCTGATAGTAAAGATCCCGAACGCACCTCCCCGGGACCATCAAAGCGTAGTGCTGAGAGGAGTGCCAGTGCAGATGGAGGTGCTACTGCCCCGGCAGCGGCAGCGGCCGGTGGGAATGCCGACGAGATGGAGGGAGTCGTGGATGACGAGGAGGCGCAGATGCAGGCTTTGATGGGATTCGGCGGCTTCGGGACCACCAAGCAGAAGAAGGTTCGCGGGAATGATGTTGGGGGCGTGTATAAGAATAAGCCGACGAAGTATCGGCAGTATATGTATGCTTTCTTTGTCCCCTCCTCCCCCTTTTTTTGTTTATGAGTTCAATACTAACTTTGGTGCAGGAATCGACCTGGGGGATTTAATAGGGCACTTTCGCCTTCTTGATACACCGCCGGTGGTAAGCTTCTGTGTCGAGGGCATTAGTCAGCGGGATTTCGTCCGCAAACTATCACCAGATTCACTAAACCCCGGCTGTAAGAAAACTTTAGGTAGTTTTCAGTCGATACCAATCCGATAAATGGGCCTAGTGTACTATTATTTATTTATTCCTTTTGCAGGCGGAGTTTTTTTTTCCTTTTTTACCATACATAAAAGTTTTCTTGCTCTAGCTTGACGCTGGTGATGGTGGCACTATCCCACGTGCTCAATCAGTCATTCGCGAGAGTTGGGATTATCATAGTCTGTTCTAGTTTTTATTTTTATTATTTTTATTTTAAACTTTCCTCTTGGCTATCTTTCCGGCCGGCGAGGGGTGAAAGACGTGAGTGGAACCGCGCAATGTACCGGCACTGGATGGAGAGCAGAGTGGATCAGGGTCGGAGATTGAGAAATCAGATGATACTCCGCGCGTTTATGGAATGGCAATCAGTATAAGAATTAGAATGTTGTACTATAGCTCGGGTGCCAAAATTTTTTATTCATGGTATTTGGAGATTAGATTTTCTTGAGTTATGATACTTTTCACTGCTGCAACTTTGGTGTTTGCCGGGTCGATCTACAGCTGGTCATAATTTCTCACTCGCGAGCCCTATGGTTTCCAAACTTTGGTCCGCTGTCTGGAAGATACGGGTGTTACCGCGCGTTCTACTAACCCAGTGGGGATTACAGATAACTCTAGAAAGCATAATATTATTAATCCGTTTCCAGCTCGTAGCTGCCGTACATTTTTTACTGGGTTCCGGGGGGGTAAGGCAGGACATGCGTATAAATATCATTATCGAAGGGTGTATGATAAACAAAACTCCGTGGAACGTATTTATAGCCTTCCAAATCGCAATGGAATTGGTAGAATCAAAGATCAACTGCAAGGTAGGAAGTAACCTTGACACCCAACACGTGCGAGGAGCCATGTTTTTGCAGGTATCATACATTACAATCAGTTGAGTAGATAACTTTCATGACGCGGCTAGTGCGTCTCTATCCCGTATTTATAGACCCCTCTGTACCTAGCAATCATGAGGAATGATCGCCCCCCCCTCCTGAACACCTTACTAGAGAAGTCTCTCTCGCAATACAGGAAGGGGACATGATACCTGGCTAACCCCCATTTAGCACAAACGAAAGGGCTGGGGGGTTCTCCCTTCTAGCAAGTGATCGTCTAGAGATCACTCGGTTGTATCTCTACTGCCTGTAAGTCCTGATATCCTGTCTGCCTGTCTGCCCAGACAAACTCTCGGGGATGGGTCCTCGGCGAGAATGGTGAGTAAGTATTGATTAATCAATTAGTTCTCCAACTATGATATTTGCAAAAAAAAGACCGACACGCCCCCAAACCGATTAGCCGTGTCATGGGAGGTTGCATTAGAGGGCCTGGTTAATTTGAGGAGCATCAGGGGGTGGGCAAAGTTTCGCTCCTCCCAGTTTCTGCCCTTTTTAAAGTGGTGGTCGGCTGGCGCAGGGGTGATAGCACCCCGGTGGCAACCGCCGCCAGAGATACTTAGGTTATGATATGTACTAAGATGCGGACTAGCTCGAAGAGTTCGTATCATACCCTTTGCAGGATTCGAAATGCATTGGATGGTGGCAAAAGTAGGATGGGAGTTCGCCCTGGGGGAGAGGGGAGTAGTAGAGATTGTAGGAATTCCTTGAGGGATTTACTCATGGAAATACCTCTCAGACACAGATAGATATCTCAGGAGGCTGGCCTCTCCATCTGATACTAGTGATTAGTGTAACCCACGGTAAACCGTGTGAACAGTAACCCACCGATTCTCACTCGAGTGGCTTGCTAATTGGTCAAATCAGCTCTATGAAACTATGGTAAAGATCTCAAATGCCACAGCCTCTTGCACTGTATTCTTCAAACACCACAGCTGAGTATTGAAGTGGATAAGGTCAGAGAAAATTTTAGTTCATTTTTTATTTCTACCTCTTCCATCGTCAGCGATGTGCTCGCGAGTGCTAGCCGGACTTCTTTATATAAAGAACCTCGGCCAGATACACCACCACACCGCGACAACGGGTCTTTAGTATCATACTGGCTATCCCATCCCCCTGTTGTGGGAAATACCTCTCCCCCTCCCCCCCTCATATTTTCTGACATGTCAGCCATCCAACACCTGATAGATGCTCCTACGGTTGGTCAACTATTTAACAATTCTCAAGATTTCAGAGAGGGAATCACAAGAAATTCGGACAGGCTCCAGCATAAGCTTGAGCTTTCCTGCAATTATTACAGTATCATGCAGGTCTTGTATCTTTCACTAGGCACTCTCTGCCTGGCTCCGGTGAAAGAAAAAAAAAACCTACAAAAAAAAACCACAGTGTGATAAATGGGGGAGAGTGGTTTGCTAGGGTGAGTAATAACTAAAACGTAGCGCTTCAGAGCCTGTATCTACTTTTCCTGCAACAGTTCCGCTCACGATAAACCAGAAATTAGTTCACTTAAGTTCGACGAAAAATAAATATAATACTATACAATAAGGTAAAACTTAGTTTAGCTTTTAAATATTTTTTTTCCCCTTTTCGGACAACTATTTCTCAAGTTACCTCATGAAAATACTGACAAAAAAAATCTCCCCGAAATTAACCACAATTAGAAACATACAAGCAAGAGCTCTTCTCTATGTATTGGAGGTTCGATGGAACATCAGACCTTAAGAATGGGAAATGGCCCGGGGTCAAGAACTCACACCAAAAACTTACTATCATATACCAATGATGATTATTGCTAGTATGGTTGGTAGAGTACAGTGCACTTGTAGGATAAGTATTTGTTTCCATAGTAACATTGTGAAATACCTAGCTAGTGCAGTGGTTAATATGTCAAGAACTAATTGACCTCCTGTGCATTTAGCGGGTGCCCAGGAGTTCAATTCCAGCTCGAGGTGGAGTTGTTGTTGAATTCTCCATCAGGTAGAGCAGGATACTTTGGGATTCCTGGCCCTACTGGAACTGGGAGAGAGAGGTGGCAGATTTCGACTCTGGACCAGTACCCTGACGGGGTTGGTTCACGATCGGCAGGCTTTTTTCTTCTTCTTTCTTTTTCCCCAACCTGATGGATGATTCATATGATGGCGGGTTGTAATTCCTTAATATTATGATACAAACTTTACGAGATGAATGTAGTTATTCACGGAGAGTCACTCGATAGAGAATTCCCTTGGGGTATGTTAACCGCAGGTTGGTGGGATCGGTATGGTATGATACCAGATCTAGATAAAAACCTGATTTGTTCAAAGATCAATACAAGAAACCCCCTCCCTCGAATACCGGTATTTTAATCTTCAAAAATCGGGCAATAATAGATCACAGCGATAATGACTGGGCTTTGATCGCTCTTCCGACCTCCATTTAGACTACAAGTACTCGTACAGTACTACAGTACAGGTATCACAGTACAAGTACCGACTCGTTATTACCGTAGAGTACATGCACTCACCAGCAAAAAGGACCCTTCGCCAAGAAAAGAGGGTAACCACGTTACATTTACCATTTCGAACATCTCGTTTACGTACTCACTCCTGCATCCGCCCGTCTCCTTCTGGATCTTTGCACTCGCTTCAACATCGTGGCCATAACACGATACCGCCCTTGGCGTCCAAATACCAGATGCCGCCATGCGCTTCACCCTTTTTCACTTCTTCTACTCAACCTCCTTTACGGTCCTCTTCCTCCTTTTAGCCATCCTTGTCCTAATCACCCCTGCCGACACCATTGTTCAAGCACTCATACGGAACGAGAGAATTAACAACGTATTCATAGTTGCCGGCTGCTACGTCCTTACGGCCCTAATCGCACTAATAATCTACGTTTCTCGAATTTATAGTGTCAGGCGTTTGATGGCCGATATTCCGAAGTTCTACGCTCCTGTCAGGAAAGTTTACTTAAGAGCTCGGGTGCATAAGGCCATTACGGCAAATTTAAGCCGGAGCGCGGTTATTGCTGTGCAAAGTCGGCCAAGGGAAGGTGGGCAGGGGGTTTGGGGGGAAATCAAGCATCCGGGTTGGTCCGACGGAACCGGGAGGTTACCGAATGTACAGTACTTGTCAGTTGTCAAGGAGCTACCGAATTTATTGGAGATAGAAGCGTTATCGTTACGCCCTCCTGAGTCTTCAAGGGATGGGCTTAGGACTCCTACGTCAAATGTATTCGAGGAGATTACTATGCCGGATCAGGAGGTGGTTAGACGACAGCCACATATGTCGTTCAGAGCCTATTTAAACCGGTTGGCAGCGGTCGGCTATGTACGACAGGATGTTGCAGATTTATTTATGGCTAGATATGAACGCGCTAGGTTCCGGAGTCAAGGTGAAGGGATTGAAGAGAGGGAATTCATGGAGCTCATGCACATTTTTGCCGGATTATTGAAGACTTTGGGGGATGACTTGTTCACCGACTCGCCATCCACATCCTCGCGTCACCGAAACTGGGAGCCCAGGGACGAGGATTCGAATGAGGAGGACCATCGGGAATGTATGGGGCTCGAAAGACGGGATAGATACAATAGCTCTGGATATGAAACGACAAGCACGGAACGCGAGGAAGGAGAAGGGTTACGGTCCACCCCCGATCGCCTGAACGACGGCTTCGTCGTCGGTGTGCAAAGAAGGCGACCCGAAACAATTGGGTCGACAAATATCAGTATGCGCAGGACTACGACCGCCACTACTGTAGGAAGCATAACCAGCCCTGAAGACAATGAGATAGAAATGGTGTCGCTGAGGCCAAGGGGTACCAGAAGGTTGAGCGCAAGAACGTCGGCGGGGACTTTTGGTTGACAAGTATATGATAATGCTGTTGTAATCCTCTTTTCCTTTCCTTTGGGTGGTGTCGGTTTGCATTCTGGCGTTTTTTCCCTTTGTTTTGTTTAGACCTATGTTTTTCCCCTTCATAGCATCGAAGTCCGGCGTTTGGGTTTTCAGATTTGGAGCGCGAACGCTACTACTGTCTAATACTTCTGTTCAAATTTGGCTTCGCGTCTTCCGTATTGGTTTCATTATCGCTTTGTAATATAGTTCATGTGGTATGATATACAGGGTAAGTGAAGTGCTCGGCACATTTTGTCTTCCAAGGGGATCAAGCACTTCTTAGGTTGATCAAGATCTTTTTTGCGATATTTGACTGTCCCCGCCTGGCCCTTACGGGATATACTCGTACTACACTTTAAATTAAGGTAACGCTCTCGGCCTGCTGAGATAATTCTTGAAGTGTCCAGAAAGTCCCCCAGATATGTGCTCCCTATTCGGGTGAGAAATGCTGTCTAACTATGCTTTGACTAGCACCAACAGTGTAGTCCGTACTCGCTTCAGCACATAAGGTGAATATAAAGGTCATAGCTCCAAGGAGGTGTGGAAATGACTTTGCCCGAAAATTATTGCCATGTGCCAGAGCTAAAATTCATCAAAAGTTGATATTTGTGCGTTGCTCGCCTCGCATCTCACCAATCGATCGGCTTGGGCGACTACGATATCACCGTGAGCAACGTTGTACTGTACTGTACAAGTACATAGTACATTGCCGTTTGAGTGGGGATCCAAGAAATTCCAGATCGAGCCATTTTATTACCCGACGACCTGAGTGAGTTCTCGAATGCTTGTATGTCGCAATGATACCGGTACCAACCCACCGTACCTAAACTCTATCGCCTACATACCGGTATCCTATCCATAGTACCATAGATAGATATAGAACATCATATTAGCCTTAAATCCGCCGAACTCCCAATTGAGTACAGTACCAGCTCCATCACGAACCCAAATGCTATTGGGCGTGCTACAACATGATGGGGCTACTATCCGAGCACAATAATAGATCGTCGACCGCCCTGAATCCAAAAAAGTCACATTATCCGGTTTCGTGCCACGGGAAAAAACAGTGAGCGGTATTGAGAGACCTCATATATACCGGTACTGCAGAATTGCTAACTAGTACAGTACAGCAATATCATACTAGCCCTCTGGACACTCGATCCCCCCCCCCCTCCAACAACCGGAGAATCAACAAATCAAACAAAAAAGAGAAAGAAAAAAAACCGATATGTACCTGCAGAACCTCCCCCCTCCCTTAACCTTTCTCCTCCGCCGGGTTTCCGATCCCCAGGGAAGACACCCGCCACGTAACCTGGGAAGAGTCAATATTAATCACCCGCAACAAGGACTGGAAGGTTACCACGGGAGGCGAAAAGAGCATCGTTAAACTCCGAAGGCAGTTTAGTTCCTGCGCCAGGGGAAGCAGAACTTTTTCAACACCCTTTTTTGATGCATTCCTGTTCAAGGCCATGTGCAAGGGAGGAGGGGCGCTGTGGGGGGTTTTGCAGAGACCAGTAGTGGGGTTATGAGAATATCTATTGGGTTACGGAGGGGAAATATTGCTATCATAGGTGCGGTTCCGAGGACTCGGGTGAGAAGTTCATGGGGTATGCGATATTTAGGAAGTGGAAGGGGAAGGGTCTATATTCGATTCGATTTGGTGGACGATTTTTATGTATGTATATCTCTTCTCACTCTTTTTGTATATTCTTACCTCCTATCCATGCTTCTCGAGGGTTTCCCTGGCTAAGACTGGATGGTTTGGCTCTCGGTTGATACGGTATATGAGGGTTGAGGAGTGGGGGGGGTGGTTTTGTATGATCGTATTGGAAATACTGGAGAGTTTTTGATTTATAACTGATTTATAAGAATAGCTATCTCAGAGACTTGTCATAGAATTAGACAGAGTGCGGTTTGTATGATATCACATAAGGGTTCCGGCTAAGCATAGGGGGAAATATTTTTCCCAAGAAGAAAGAAAAAAGGCAGTCAGTCCCCGCTTCGGACGGAAAATACCTTACTTATCGAGAGCAGTTCCCACTAGTTGCTTACAGGGTATCATAGTACGTCCCCAAAGCCTGGAAACAACGCTTGAATGGAGAGAAAAACTATCAGCCAATCTGATATTAATAACGTGCTCCCCCCAGGTTAACTTACGAAACTATTTTTCCCACATACCCTACCTCAGGTAGTCTCCCTTGCATTCAATGCAATATCCCTATCCCTCGCAGCCAGAAGCTGTTTAATCCAGAGATTCTGACACTCGCTCACCTCCTGATCCTTAGACCACCACTCATCAGAAGGTTCCTGATCCCCGTGTATCATTGGGTCCTCCTCCTCCCCCCCCGCCTCCCTGGAGCCATGCGCCTTGATCCACGAAGCCATGTCCTCCGCCTGCGCATTACCGGGACTATCTCTCTGCCCTCCGGCAGTGGACTCTCTAAACCAGTCTACCAACCCAGCCATAAATAATTCCTTGGACCCATTGTAGAAACCGCAGGCATCCTCGTGGACATCCTCGATGTTACGGACGATAGGATACTTAACGAGGAGACGCAGGGGACCGGGCTCGTTACGGTCACCCTCTGTTGCAACTCTGATTATTAGCGGGCTGTCCTTGGAGGAGGCGGTGATGAAAAGCAGAACAGACCCTGGATGCTCGATTGGGACGGGGGGGACGAAAGATGGGGAACTAATGTGAGCCATTGCTCTGGCTAGAAAGGCGGTGCTGCCCTCGGGGTCCGATGTGCTGGGTCCTATGTTCGGGGCATTGTATCCTGCTTCTGACTCTGCGGTGCTGGCGGCTGGATTGGGTTGGTCGGGTTCTTCCGTCATGCTGAGGGAGATGGGATGGATAGCGAATTGTATTGTGGTGGTGTAGAGATGGGAAGCGAAGCAGGTAAGAACTTAAAGTCCAGATCCTGCAGGTGCGGTTTTCCTCGTTGTTGGTAAAAGCAGTCGACTCACTGCGGGAACCCGACGCAACCTTCAAGGATTATGGGGCTGAAGTTAGAAATATAGTGAGCGGCCGAAGGGTAGAGGGTACTGACGAATCTAGCACCTCCCGGTTCATGTGAGTCTACAAGTCACAGAATAGGCTAGTATCGTAGTTCGATCACAGATGAGCTCTTTGGCTATTCCCAACATACCCCGAAAACCTGGTCTAATGGAATGCACCAGCAGTTAGAGATATGGCCGGGAAGAGTGACAAACATGGTTTATGACAGCTACATCACATTCACCCTCCGGGGTCGTGCGTAATATTAGCCCGAGTGAGAAATCATGAATAATGATGAGTGAACATTCTAGAACTACAAGCTTGGCTGGATAAAGGACTGGAAGGAATGGAAAGAAACCCACATAGTTTCATTAACCGCCAATTAAAAAGGTAAAGATAAATCTCCCCACCAGCAGGAGCAGGATAAGTATCGGTTCCCACGATAATATTATGTGAAATGCCTAGCTGACGCGGCGGTTAATATGTGAAGAACCAATTAACCTCCTGTAAATCAGCAAGGAGCCTAGGCGTTCAATTTCCGCTCATGGATGAGCGGAAATTGAATGAGCTGTCACGTGAGTTAAGGGAGGAGAGTTAACAACTCCCGCCCTACGAGGACTGGGAGACTGGAGACCCTTGGCCTTCCCCAATAAGGCCGTAGGGTATGATAATTCATGATATCATAGCAGTTGTAATTCCTAAACGCTATACCCGCCCCGCCGAACCTTCGAAGGCGGACACTTTGCCTAGGTGCACGAATACAGTCTCTCTTACACAACCACAACTGGACCGTCCTATGATAATTATGAGGGTGGATATCAACCATCAAATACGATAGCCCTTTCACACACCACCAATCTTCCAGTTTCAGGTGGAGACCAAACTCACAAAAATTCCAGCCCTCCGACAGCGCAACCAAAGAACGGGATGACAATTACACCACTCCCGCTGGAATCCGAGCGAATTTTTGCCCTATAAAGAGTGCTCACACCCATCCCGTAACACCTGTGGTATCACGACCTTGAGGCCGCTTCTGATGGGAAGTTTTGGTATCCTAGGGCTTTTCAAACTAAAACATTCAAAATAAAATGGCCTCTATTTCTAGATCTCCACAGGACGAATTACTCAACCTGCGGATCTTTCACTCGTCTCTCTTTTTCCCCACCTTGGGGAGTAGAAATTCTAAATAAAATAAAATGTTACCGGGTGAGACATTATCGGGCCGGTGCCCTAGCTGTTTGAACTCCTGAGAGATCGAAATTCGATTACCAAAAGGACGGGAGTTGCTAGGAAGTGGAGCAGCCAGCGCCCTATATGAGATGAAGGATGAGCTTCAAGCTTGCGCAAGGCGCTGGTTGCTCCTCCTCTGCCACTGACTCGGACACGGAGGGGGTGGCACAAAAACATGCGAGTCCTCTCCAAGTCATCATAGTGCAAGCATTCGCGAGGGATATCGGGTCGTGCAGAGGTGACTCGCGAAATCCCCAGACATTTACTTCACATGGAACATAACCCGCCCGTCTAGCTACCGTAGGCGAGTTTACATGAATACCGTATTATATCCCACAGGGCAAGTCCGGAGCGCTCTATGCACAAGTTTCCAGGAACTGCCAATTTTTTGAACCGCCCTCCAGCCCTCCAGCCTCTAGCTTGCCGAAACCTAGGGGCCCCAAAAATGCCCGTAGCGGGGTATGTGTTTTCCTTCGTGGCGGCTACATGACTCGCTAGCTAGCAGCTACAGTTCTATCCCGAAAAGCTTATCATACTCCGACGAAATCACTAGCGTGTTCGAGCAGGCTGCTCGGAGGAGCCGAGTGAGGACCAATGAGTCGCCCTCTCTCCCAACTGCTGGTGAGGGGGGAAAACATCACAAGAAATTCATCAAGCATGATACTGGGCAGAAAGAAGGACCCAAACTTCCCAAACACATGGGAACCCCCCCCCCTCCAACACACAAAATTTTATTTCTATCGCTTCGGGGCACTTGGGGCCTCGGCCTCAAGACCCAAATACGAGTGACCGGCCATGACTCCGAAAACCCGGGAGCTCTCATACAAATAGCCTACCGTACTAGCTACGCGCCCACCACAATTTCCACGAGTGAAACGGTACTCGAGTACATGTGCGTATGATAAACAAAGCGCCCAACCCGGAGATTAACTTGAAGTGGAAAGTCTCCAAGTACCCGAAAGTGAGGGTTAGAAAAAGATACCAAGTATGGCCAAAAATCCGCCTATCTGAGAGAGGATGCGAAACATGCCGCCCGCGCTCGAGCACCGGCACGTAACGATACTGCGATATTTTTTGTCTGCGAGGAGAGCCACGGGTAGGTGAGACAAGCGTTTACATTAGACACACCGCTCATAGCACCGCCACAGGGCTGGTCGTGCACGTGGCGGCGGTGTGATATTTGCGGGTCAAATTATTCAGATTGGTTAGTTGCGATGGTATTAGTCTAGTGTGTGCTGGGCGGTTAGGCGGGCGGAAAGAGAGATTCGATTATTCGATCTGGTGAGGCAGGTGTTGGTGATGGTGGGGTTTGTGTGTGTGAGATGAATGTGTTTATCGAATTGGCTTACTGTACAGCACAGTACTTTACTCGACGGGAGAGGAACGGGGGATTTTGGATCTGGAGGATCACGAGTGGATGCCGCTGTGGATATTACCGGTATCGTGCTATCCGTTCGCAGTATCTTGCGCAATTCGAGTACTGTACGAGTACAGTACAGTACTGCGCGGAACCACTCAGCGGTCGGGCTAGGACTCAAATTGAAATGGAGAATGCTATTCAGCGTCTATCTATCTCGGCCTGGGTGAATGCGATCCTGCCCCGTCGCGCGGCAAACCGGGATGCCATTAAGGCCCATCTGAAAGCGCTGCGGGTATCGTAGCAGGATGGATGATCCGAGAATTCCTCCTCCCGTGCTGTAGCGCCTCCGATCTGGTCGAGTACCTCTAGGTACTCGAGGAACAACTTGAAATTCCACTGTTCCACGGGCACGCATTCGACGGGGCCATGTATTAAGGATATATTATCGGCATCTGTGGACTTCCCTTTCAATCCCGGTACGGCGCAGTACTGTGCGACTCGGTGCAATAGAAGAGTTTATGCAAGTTTTTCGGGTTGAAGGAATTGGGTGTGTGTAACACCTTTTGAGCATACAGGCACAAATCCGGCTGATCCGCTCGTAACTTTGGCGCTCGAAAATGAGTCTTGCGGCTTCGGGACTAAATACTCGAGTACCGGTGCCTCTAAGGCACTCTAAAATTCCGTACGCATATCGTACCCAAGCGGAAGGTAGCATCGTATGCTTGTCCCAGGCAATAAGTACCCGGAAACAGATTGGGAAAAATATATGGCAGAAAATGCGTGCCTATATATGGGCCCCCATACAAATTCACGACCCCTGTTTGTGGAGACTTATTGCCAGTGACCACTGCCACGGTGCGACACGCACCGTCCTGCGCAAATATGGTACTCGAGTACGGTACAATATGATACTCATAATACGAGTGAGACAGCTCCGCTCAACTAATTTACTGGCAAGCGGCAAAATCACCTGCAGCGCATGCCCCATCGATTAGGATCCCAAAACCCTATGAAACGCCAGATATGTATGACAAAGGCAACCCGGCAGTGATACAGTACTGGATAGCCTAGGAACTGGAATAATTGAAGCTCGCATAAGGTGTCCAAAAGAACACTGCGAAAACTGAGTAAAGGTACAAGTACCTGTGCTGGTATAGTACCGCACTTTACCAGCAAAAGTAAACTCCAGTGCCCTAGCGCGAGCTCCAATTACGGTACTGGTACTCCAGTTCTCACGGCAAGTTAACATCCTCGCCCAGCGCTTCTATCGAGTGCTGCCCTGCCGAACGCACATCCACCCAATCACCGCATCCCAATCCCCCATCCAATCCCTCTCCCTTCCTCGAAGAGATCCATCTATTTACTCATCAATCGTACCAGTACAAGGCGGTAACCGACTCACTGCAAGTTTTATCAAATTGCGATATCACGCTCAGCTGGCTGAACATTGTTTCATCGGACCCGGGTTGGCGACCGACCGACTGACTGGCCAGCTGGCTCGTGCGCTAAACTACCAGGAGTTGTGGGATGGGGCGAGGATGCAGGTACAGTACAGTTTCATGCGAAACTTCTGAAGGATCAGGAGAGGAAAAAGTAGGAGAGGCGGTTGGAGGGGGAGGGATGGATCATGACTGGGGGATCTAACCTTGGGTTTTGGGCCACGAGTAACGATATTCGAGTAGATCTATGATAGCGTGTTGGATTTTTGGCGTATAGCGAGATTCGGAGACCAATAACTTGGAAGTGAGTTGAGTCAATGGGGTGCGTGGAGGACCTTTCTAGCGAAAGGACCGACCAGGCACAGGAGCGCACCAGTAAGTGAATGGTCCAGAGATTCACCTCAACCACATCCAACCGCTTCCAAGTTCTTCCCTGATTCCTGTTTCAATCCGGCGACAGCGATGATTATTATTGAATCCGCGTACCTCCTGTTTACTGTAAGAGGGGAAATGGATCCCTCTTCACATGCGAGTAGTTACACCACCACCACCCCCTTAGTCCGACAAACAGCGCCTGGCAGCACTTGTCAACTTGGCTGTTGTTCCTGTTCTGCTCAGTTCTGTTCCTAGTTGTTTCGTGTGTCCCCCTCCTAATTTATTATATCGAGTATCGGTAGTTACAGTAATCCGACAACTGGGAAGTAAAAAGGGGACACGGTCAAGGTTGTGTGTTGTGGTTGTGGTTTATTAAACGGACACGACTGTACCCGCTGTGTCAGGATCCTTTTCTTCTGCTTCCCCCATTCCACCCCCGGACGGGGGCGGAGCGACGCAGATCAGTACTCGAGTACAAGTACTTGTATGATAAGTGACGGTCGGGCAGTCAGTACTAGTACTGTAGAACCGCCTGTCAAGCTTTTTACCATCTCAACTTAAAAACTACGGTTACCGGTACTTCCCTGGTACAAATTCTATTATTACCATTAGTGTTGCCGGGTCTTGTATCGCAAAGTACCCGACTCATAGGTTGCTAAAAAAAAAAAAAAATTTTGGCAAAGCGCAAGCTACCGCACCTGTATGATACAATGAAAGAACCGGTGAACTACAGTACGTTTAATCTATGTGCTGTGATGCCATGGCTTCAGGCGCAGACTATGCTTCATGGATCTCCCCCAACTTACGGCTTTATGTGCCAGTGCTGTACTGTACTGTACTGTGCTTACGAGTATTCCACGATTCAACAGTAAAAAATAGGTACAGTACTGCGCGGTAACTTAACACCCCATCCCACCATCCTCCCTTTCTCAATGAACAACGATTATCCGATTGTCCTCTTTTCTTTTTCCCATGACTGCTCATAGGAAAAGAAACTCACTCCGGCCAAGGAATGTGGAAAGCACACAATTGTATCATAGGCACTACAATGATACTGGTATTGGAACCCCAGCGGATACGGAACGGCACATCTCCCCCCATACGATACACTTATCTTACCCCCTCCCCCCCTCTCCCCATCCGCTACACCCCTGGACTGGAACTGGTCTGATTACCTGTCCATTCGTCTGGCCAGCCACTCGTTTCGGGCTTCAGATTCGCGGAGATGGAAATAGGCGAAATTCTGTTATGCGCGCCTGACTGCGCTCAATATTGGTTGATGTTCGGCTACCGGTACTTTTTACCTTACTCCCCCCCTCTCTTTCGCTCCTTCCTTCCTTCCTCCCTTCCCTTTTTTCCTATATCTTCTTCGGCCTCGCAAATGCGTGAGGAATTGGAGGAAACGGGGGATACTTCGATAGGTCGTTGAGGAGACTAATCACTTACCCACCATTCCACCACTCCACAACTACTGCTTTCTCGCCTTACCCCCCGGAAACCTGGAGAGGCAGAAGCGGAAGCAGTGGCGGAAAAAGGAAGGAAGGAAGGAAAAATTCGTTACAGCTCTGGAATCCCACTTTTTCCTCTTCGCATCTTCTTTGTTCGTCTACCGTTGCAGCAAAGTGCGCACGGTAGCGGTGTTACTCCCAATATCATTGATACTTTACCAAAAGGTGGAACCTTTGTGGAAGAGCAACCCAGGAGGCAAACAAGCAACAAGCAAGCGCTTACAAGAACCTCACTACCTGGCGTACGAGTACGGTACAGCACTTGCATTACAGTACCACAAACCAAGCGGACCGGAGATAATACATCGGAATAGTGTGAAGGGTCCTTACTTGCTGCAGCGCATTAAGTTTCTCACTTAATCGAGAAGAGGGGTCCAGGTTTTTGTATTTTTGGTGGTGGGAGATATACTGCGATTCTTCACATTTTTATCTGTCTGCTGGTCATCGACCGACTTGGGGAATCTTTTTTTCTTTCTTTTTTCCAAAGAGATAGAGAGGAATGGGGATGAGGGTACATTTTTCGTTGTTATTATTGGCAGCAGCGGTGCTGGTAGTATCAGCCTTCACTCCCGTAACAATCCCAGAAGTCGGCACGAACTCACAGGAGAAATGGTGGAAAGTGAAGAATGGGAATGGCGGTTCGGGAGCAGTGGGGAATAATAATAACAACAATAATAATAATGATAGCGGTGATAACAACAATAGTGACAGGAGGAGGGATGTCGGAGGATGGAGTATGAAGATTCGGAGGATGGAGTATCCAGTGAGTTTTTCTTCTTCTTTCTCTCTTTCACTCTTAAGTTGGTGAGTGCTTGGAAACTGACGAAGTCTTGACAACACCAGGACGATGGAACACATCCTGAAATCCGCCAGGTGCGAGCTGCGAATGCGGCAACTTACAAGTACCGTCGGCGCGGAATTCCAGGACCCGAGGTCGATGGCATGCAGGCGCTCCGGGATGTTGAGGACTCACTACGGAGGAGGGGGTTACTAGAGAAGCGACAGACCAACAGTGGTCGAGTCGTTACCATCGGTGCGGGGCAGACCGCCTCCTCTACCAACGGGGTGATTCCTGCCGCTACGCCAAGGACCCCGAACTCAATAGGCGTGGGGCAGGACGGGAGTGATTTGTGTATGCCTCCCAATTCGCTTCCACAAGGGATATAGCGAATAACGATACTAATGAAGAAACAGCATACTTCTCCGAAATGAAATTCGGCTCGAACAATAAGTCCTTCGTCCTTGTGATCGACACTGGCAGCTCAGACACCTGGATCCCCTCCGACACTTGCAGGTCCCGCGCCTGCCAAGCGCACACGAGGTACGGCGCCAAGGACAGCAAAACCCTCCTCATGAGCACGCGACCCTTCAGCATCCGCTACGGCAGCGGGCAGGTAGAGGGAACGCTAGTCTCCGACAGCATCTCGTTCGCAGGGTTCAACATGAACATCTCTTTCGGCGTGGCGACCAGGGTGTCAGACGACTTCATCTTCTTCCCCATAGACGGCATAATGGGCCTCGGCTTCCGAGACGCGAGCACGCAGGGCGTACCGACGGTAATGGACGAACTCGTCAATAACGGCCTCATCGACCAGAAGCTGTTCGGCATCGCGCTCGCGCGGAGCACGGATGCGGTGAACGATGGGGTGATCAATTTTGGCGCGATAGATGCTAGCTTGTTCGAGGGGGAGCTCAACTTTATGCCCTCCGTGTCACAGCTGGGGCTCTGGGAGATCAAGGTTGATGATGCGTCGGTTGATGGGCGAGGGGCTGGGTTCTCGGGACGCACGGCTGTCATCGATTCCGGGACTTCGTTGATACTTCTGCCCCCCGCTGATGCGCTAAAGTTGCACTCGATTATCCCGGGCGCGGAGACGAACGGCGACATCTTCGCCGTGCCGTGCGATACCACCTCGAACATAGAATTCACCTTTGGCGGTGTGAAGTATAAAGTCCCACCGAAAGACTACGTCAGCGGGAGGATCAACGCGGGGCAGAACATTTGTCAATCTCTAATCACCGGCCGAGTAATATCCCCCCCACTATAAAAGCAATATCAGAACCCCACCGAATCATAACCCATGAAGCTAACAACCTCACCAGCAAATCCTAGGAAACAACATGTGGCTGCTCGGTGACGTATTCCTGAAGAACGTATACTCCGTCTTCGACCTGGGAAATAGTCGCGTCGGTAAGGCACACACCCCACACACGATCCCCATAACTATCTAACAACCCGCTTAGGCTTCGCCCCACGCAGAAAAGCCGGCAGTCCCCCACCCGTTTCGAGGCCTACCGGTACCGGCACCTCCTCCGCCACCTCGCCACCCGGTGGCGACGCCAGAACGAGTAACATCCCCTCACCAACCACCACGTCCCGTCGCGAGCCGGCTATCACCCGCGATCCGAGAATCGGGAATGCGGCGCCGTTCGATAATCCTGAATCGGCTGCTATGCGGAGATCTGCCGCGTCGGTGGTTGGTATGGTGGTTTTGTGCTTCGTGGCGGTTTTTGTTGTGGTGGGGCTGTAGGTGCCGGTAGGGTATTATAGTCTCTTGTTTTATTTTTGTTTTGCATTATTGTCATGGTTTTGGTTGGGCGCGCGGGGGGTTTTTTTTGGAGTTTTTTTCGGAGTTTTTATTTATTTCTTAAGCGGTGTTTGGGTGGTATATATATGGGTGGGTGGGTGGTGGCGTGGGAAGGGATGTGATTGTCCATATGATAATGGGGTTTTTTGTATTCATGTGTTATTATGTACAATACGGTGGCCATGAACACTGCATGGCTATGCTATACGGCCTGTATGCTATGCTAAAAAAGAAGGAATGGGGGAAAAAAGGGACAGATTAAATTACCTCTATAAGCTATTGTAAGGCTTTTGAGTAAACCAGTAGTGCCGGTATGATACAAAAAAAATACACCCAGCACACATCATATCATGCCCCCAATACATCCCAATACCCCTACTTCCCCCCACCCTCCTTCTTGACAATCGGTTTGCCAGCACGCAACCACTCAATATACTCCTTCTTTGTCGTAACGCACTTTAGCAACCCATCCCTCACCTTCCCTTCTTCCCCCACCTCTTCCGCCGTCAAACACACATCCTCATAAACCCCCCAGGCATCGTCGGTATCCTGATCCACCCAGTGCAGTTTCGTCCAGTTCTCCTCTTCCGCCAGGCGCACCGCTTTCATACTGCTGCTCAGCTGCGACGAGGGGTCCTCAGAGTTCTTGACCGAGAGCTGGATTGCGCGCGCTTCTTGCTTGACTGGGTGGAGGGCTTTGTTCGCGGCGCGCTCTAGATCGATTTGCGTGTCTATGTGGCGGAATTGGGGGCGGAGTTGGAGGGTAGAGGTTATAGGTGTTAGGTAGAGCTTGTCTGTGACATTTAGTAGATTGTTTCCATCAAAGTGGCCAGAGGGGAGCGAGTGCCATGTACCATCCTTGAATACCCCAGCCATATACTTCGTCCCATCCGGCTGGATCTTACTCCCGAGCGTCTGGCGATTAAGTATCCGTCTAGCTTTAACCGCGGCCGCAAGATCCATATACATTAAATCCTCCTCTTCCTCCTCCTCCTCTCCCTCATCATCCTCCCCCCGTAAAATCTTCCTCTTCTTCCCCCCACCACCCACACTGCCAATTCTACCACTTCTACCACCACCGCCCTGCACCTTACCAGCCTCCTTCTCTGCCTTCCGCATCACGTCCCCCCACACACGCCCCTTCTCCTCATCGTAATTCACCTGCACGTTAACCGGGATGTCAACCTCCACAAGTCCAGACTTTGGCTTGAACCGCGCTTCGATGGGACATGCGTTGCGCGCCTTCGTGTACGGCTGCTCGCGAGGTCGTACGGGGTACTGGAAGATGTAGAGATCGCGGAGCTGCGAGGTGGTGATCTGTATGTCGTACGTTTGGACAACAGGGTCTTCGTCAGTGGTGTCTTCTCCGCCGGAGGTGTCGTCGTCTTCGTTGCGAGGTGGCGGGTGTGGTGGTTGGGCTGTGGTTGGTTTTGGAGTGGGTTGTAGTAGCGGATCGGTGGGAGGAGGGGGAGGGGGGGAGACAATTTCTATTGATCCGTTATTGCTATTGTTGTCATTGTCATCGTCGGAGGAGGAGTCGCTGTAGCCCGGTAGGAAGAGTGGGTTTTCGGATGAGTTGGGTGGTGGTAGTGGAGGGGTTTCTGCAGTTGGAGCTGTAGCTGCTACTTCTGCAGATTGAGCGGGTTCCTCGGGCTTGGTGGCTACAGCAGCTGGGCGGGGCCTCCCGGCGGATTTATTCGGTTTGCGTTTTGGTGGCATGGTGATGGTTGATTGGTGGTAGTTGAGAGAAAGTTTGAGCTAAGTTAGTGATGACTGACTTTGACCTGCCGGAAAAACTTTATTGCGTTCGGTTAAGCCTCGGCGGTGTGCCGCATGAAATGCTACTTGTACTAAGTTACCCTAAAGTTAAAACGGTGGCTAGCGTTCCACTGTGCTGCAGTCCCTTGAAAAAGAATTATTATCATAGTTCATACGAATATGATAGGGTCTAAAATAGATTATCAATGAGGTTATGATGTCTAGTGTCTGACTTATAATACAAAAAGAAAAAAGTCCCCGCCATACGAATATTTACTTTTTGGTCAAAAGGAATCATTTGCCTTTACCTTTCCCCCTCACCATCTTCTGCGCAAACTTCTTCCCACCCTTTCCCTTAACCTTCAAAGAACCTCCCTTCGCCGCGCCTCCACCCTTCCCTCCACCCTTCCTTTTAGAGGTCCTATCTGCCTTGGTCTTCTTATAGACCCTCCCTTCTTCAACCTCCCCTCTCCCCTCCAACTTCTTCCTCTTCTTATTGCTTAACTTGACCTTCTTCTCGGGCAACTCCAACCCATTCAACTGCGCCTTACTGACCTTCTCGCGCAATTCCTTCTCTCTCTGCGTCTCGAACCAAGTCCTCTTCGGTCGGCTCTTGATCTCATCCTCATGCTTAATTAGATTCTCACCCCTGCGCAATTGCAATTCCGCGGACTGTAACTGCTTCTCCTCCTTCTCCTCCTTGAGGATTTCTTCGATCTCGCCGTCCAGCGCTTTGATCTTCTCGCCCAGTGCATCGACTTTGTCCACGTCTAGGATCCGGGAGACGACCTTGGCGGATTGGGATTGAGCAGCCCTGACGGCGGCTTTGACGACCTTGCGGTCTGCCTCTGCCGCTAGTGTCACCGCACGACCTTGGCGACCGGCACGAGCAGTACGGCCTACTCTATGGAGGTAAATTTCGTGGGATTGGGGAGCTTCGTAGTTTATTACTACGTCTACACCTTTGATATCCAGGCCACGGGAGGCAAGATCAGTAGCCAAGAGGAAATCTGCTTTCCCATCACGGAAACTTTCAACCGCTCTAACACGCTGTAATTCATTACTAGATTAGCACCAAATCTGTAGAAGCGTAAAAAAAAATAAGGTATAAAATCACCTGCTCCTGACTCAAACTCCCATGCAGCTCCGCCGCCTTGAGTCCAAAAAGGCCAAACACAACCCTCACCCTGTGCGCGAAAAATTTACTCCGGAAGAACACGATAGTCCTCGTCGTGAAATGCTCCCTGCATATAAACACCAACATCGCAAGACGAAGGTGCTCCCTCTGCGGCCTGATCCTAACGAATTCCTGCACAAGCGTTTTGACAGTGCTAAGCTTCGTATCGACCATAATCCTGACAGGCCTCTGCAGGGATAGTCGAATGAGTTTGTCAACGCTATCCGTCATGGTAGCAGAGAACAACATTGTCTGCCGGCTCTTGGGGATGGCGTTGATGATCTCGTTGAGTTCGTCGGCGAATCCGTCCTCGAGCATGCGGTCTGCTTCGTCCATTACTACTATTTCGATACTCTCAATGGAGAAGCCTTGGGAGTTGCGCATGTGGTCGATAAAACGGCCAGGCGTGGCGATTATCACGTCGGGGCGCTTTTTGAGCTCGGCTTCCTGGACTTTTAGGGAGAGACCTCCGACCGCCAGGGCGAATTTGATATCCGTGTATACAGCTAGTTTCAACGCGACGCTGTGCGCTTGCATCGCCAACTCACGGGTCGGACATAGAATGACAACTCGGGAGATCGGTACTTTTTTCGGGCGAAAGAGTAGACGTTCGAGAATTGGGACTATGAACGCTGCTGTTTTGCCGGATCCAGTGACCGCGCCTCCCACAACATCTTTGCCCAACAGCGCAACTGGAATTGTCTTCTGCTGGATCAGCGTCGGGGTATTGAATCCGACGTTCACAAGACCACGGAGGATCGGACGGGAGAGGTTCATTTGCTGGAAGCTGACGGAGGCACTGCTCTTCACACCAGCATCTTCCTCCTCCGGTGCGAAAAACGCAGCTTTCTTAGCAACCTCCTCGGCATCTTCCTCTTCCGAATCATCGTCGGAGGCCTCGTCTTCAGGGTGGGGAACTATCGAAGCCACCGACTCATCTTCTGAATCTTCCCCTTCTTCCTCGCTCCCCTCCTCGTCACCATACGAATCCTTCCCAGACCCAGATTGATGCTCCCCATCTAAATCCTCCCCTACGGCACCCATCCCAAATCCATCCAGCGCAAGATCCTCATCATCAGACTCAAGCCCGGCAAACTCCACTTCCCCTTCCTCATTCCCGATTTCCCCCTCCACCTCTTCCTCATCCCCGGTTTCCTCCTCCACCTCTTCCTCATCCCCGGTTTCCTCCACCTCCTCCCCACCCCTCCTCCTCCGGATAATATCGTCAACATCAACTCCCGCCCTCCCATTCCTCATCGCCTCCCGGGCACCTTCAAACCCCCACCCATCGTACTCCCCAACACTGCCCCCCTCCCCGTTGCACATGAACTCGAAATCCGAGTCGAGCCCTCCGTCATCCTTTTTATTGTTCTCTTCCTCCCCGTTCCCGGCAGTGGGCCTCTTACGCTTCTTCCCGCGCTTAGAAACCTCGCCAACCTCAGGCGTAGTAGGATTATCCCTATCAATAGTTTCGACCTCGGAGTCGTCAGAGTCGAGGTCTGGAACGTCCGAGTCCGAGTCGGAGATCGTCATTACGAAGTCGTCCATTGCCGGGTGTTTCTTTGGAGAATTTTTATTTGTGCCCGCGGCGACTTCTGTGCGACTTATAGTGCCTTTTGGCAGCTTTGAGCGGGGCATTGCGTGATGATCGAATCGCAAATGACTAGTTGTGGCGGTGGGGGAATTGTGAGGATTCAAAAAAATTTTGTGTACTAGATCAGGAAATTCGAGCTACGAGTAGATGATCCCTACCTGATGAACACCTCGGGTAGGGTAACCCCATCACGGCCCATCACTCACAACCTCAGAGCATCCCACTTGCAATTGCCCCAGTTAATTTAATGTTCACTAAGTTAGGGGCAACTTTTATGCCCCTCCAGCAAACATCCACAAAGATCGCGTCAGTAGAAAAAAAGAGAATACTAAAAAGCTAACCAAAAATTGATCCAGAAGAGAAGATAGCAACAGCACGTTTCGATCGTGCGTCCTCCGGGTTATGAGCCCGGCGCGCTTCCACTGCGCCATGTTGCTGTGAAATCTGTGGTTCAGCCGGGAGTCGAACCCAGGCGCACGCCGGCTGAAGAGGAAAGCACCTATGGTACCCCTGGACCACTGAATCGTTTGCAGGATATTCGTTGTTTATCCACTTGAACTATCCATTTTAGTCGGATGCATTTGTTAGGGCCATTGAGACTCGGGTGTGGGTGGAATCTGTTGAGGGTTAACTAGGACCTCCGATCCCATCGGGTCATTTCAATCCAGTCTTGAGAATTAGGGACATGTACTATAGCTAATTTTCCAGGACAATAGTACCTCCCAAGTTTGACCATCATACCGCTACAACCTCATAAATAATTAGGCTAACGATAATAATTATATCCCAGCACGACTTTCACAAGCGCTCACTCGGTTTCCCAAATCGGGAAAGCGCGAGTGAAGGCTTTATTTCCCCCCACGGAAATATGGAAGACGGGTTCGTAAGATTTAGTATCATAGTCCCCTCCAATCTCAAGAACAAATAAGAGCGAATAATTAGGACAACATACAATCCCTAATCCCAGTCAGAGCGCAGACCCACCATGCTTGAATGCTGCCCTCAATAGATGGGCAAAAAATCTCAAAGAGCTTTCCTCCCAAATAACGTATATCCCATACGGCAATACACACCTCCCAAACCGCCAAATATCCATACTTGGACAGAAACCGAGTATGGAGATTTCTGGTGGCAAATAAAAAAATGTCCCCAAAGAGCCCTACCTAAATTAAGAATACGATGAACCCAAATGCTCTTGAATTAACGAAGGAGGACTCGGAAAAAAGGTGAAAGAATCAGAGAGGGACCGGAACACTCTCATATAGCCACTAGATATCCCGCATGGATAGAGGCTGCCTCCACAGAGCTCAGATGGTATCACGAGTACCGCAACATACAAGATTTGTCATATTGAATTTACCTTGCATATATCTCGAGGCATGAGTACAGAGACCATAAATAATCAATAGTGTTTATTTTACTGCAGTATGAGTCGGTGGGCGTGAGTTTTTGAAAAAGAAAAAGAAAAAAAAAAGCCCCAGTTTTTTATAGAATAGATCATTGCAAACTGTTTCATGGGAATAACTGTTACATACTACCGGTATTGCCACAGGAAACCGGGTGACTTCCTGCGAGACTAAAGCAGACCTTCATAAACCGCTCCTCTGTTGTGGTTACACATTTTATATTTGGCAGAAAGGAAGTAATCGTACAGGTGCATATCATAACAAACACAAGCTTTGTTCCAGAAAACATCAAGCTCAAGGACATTGAGCGAAAAAAAAAAAACCTAACTTAAAACGACCATGCCATCCTATGCTCCAAGAATAATACTAATCGCGGGAAATCATCGCTTAAGACTAAAAGCCCTTGGAGGATTGCTGATGGGAACGTGATTTCCACCCAATTTGGCTGGTGTCAAAGATACAGAGCTTCCCAGTCGACAGCCCCGAGGTGTACAATACCTATCACTTGAGCTACTGTAATACGGGTTCGTGGAAGGTATAGAGTTGTTACTCGAATAACAACGACTCTTTGGTGTCAAAGTAGCTGGCATGCGATGTTCCTTTCCGGGCCCATTCTCCTAGTAGCGCCCACCTCCACTGCGATCAAGTTTCTTTCCCCTACTATCATAACTTGGTGTACTTTGTAGGGTTGGATAATAGCTCTGAGAATCATTGTGAGTTTTCCATTCCCTCAGCCTAATATAGCGCCCAAAACGTCCCGGGGCTCTTGGCTAGTATCCATCAGCAATCACTCCTCTAATAAGAACTCAAAATACATACCACACCATCTACAGTATAAGTGAGCTCAGGTGTATCCTCTTCATCCTTGATACAATCCCCTGGAGGCTCCAAACCATATCTCCGATAATCCCTAGAGCGTGCAAGCAGAATACCTGGATTTCTGGTCACAACGCTCCCGCTCCAGATAGAGTCTGCATACATGTCGTGAAATAATGCAGAGTCAGGCATCTCCACCTCGCCTATATCAGAGAAATCGAAAACCGGGCCCGGGTCAAGTGAGGTGATATCCACTTCCTTGAGAGAGACCTTGGCAGCCCCCGTTTCGGTGGCTTCAGCAGCAGCTCGTTCAGCTTCGGTGCCTTCAACTTCTTTGGCACACTCGACCCATTGATCAGAGATCTCTGGAGTAGCTGGATTACTCTTGCTACTATCCTCATTGCCATCGTCTCTTGTAAAGTCACCGTTAAAACAGGAAAAAGTTTCACTTTCAGCTTTTCCTTCTTCGTTCTCTTGACCTACACCACTCGCAACATGAGTAGTCAAGTCGTCCGACCTAGTAGCGTCAAAGTTTCTAGTGGCTATTTCCTCAGGATCGGCGGTTTCCTCGGCGGCCTCGACGATAGACTTCTCGGCAACATTCGCCGTAGCGCTCTCCGCAGAAACATCTAAGTTTACAAGGTGGGCATCAACAGATTCCTCGTCTTGCCCATCCTTACTCTTCTGAACCTCGCAAATAATACTCTTGACTTTTTCGGCCTTTCTACCAACCTCCCCAACAGGTGTATCCACAAGCGCGGTGCTGAGCGAGTCCTTAACGCCATTAGCATTGAGTTCTATACGCAAATTATCTGGGCTTTCGATAGCGATAGTCGGTGAGGTGGCTCCTAGGGATTCTTTCATGACAATAGACTTTGGCTTCGTAACAGAGAGCACAGGGAGAGTTGGTGGAAGGGGACCGGTGCCATGCTTGTCAGATTTGATAGGCTTCAGCCACTCGCCAACATCAGGATTTTGGGTACGATTGGATGTGTGCCGTTTGCAGAAACGGCCCTTGCTGAAACACATTTTAACAATAGTAAAGCGGTTGAGTGTGTGGTTGAGTGTGTAAAAGGATAAAAGGGTAAGTTTTTAATTAGAGAAGAAAGGGTGGTAAATAATAGTAGTGTAAAACAAGTGACTCTAAGAATAATAATTTGGGGGAAGATGGAAGGGAGGAAAGGAGAGGAGAGAGGGGGAAGCGGGCAAGGGCTTTATTTTATAACACAGGATATAGTAGGAGAAACAATGGCGCAAACCCAAGTGCCGCGTATCACATCTGATGGAAAATATGTAAATAATAATTATTCGTCATCATGTACATTAAAGCTGCTTGGAACCTTGGTGACATGTTCTGGCTCTGGTGTATTCGTCGCCTATTGCTTTGAGTACATCATTTCCGCTCAAGAATAGAACTTACTTACCCATATCCGATCAATGCATAACTCAAAAGGTCCCGGGATTCGATCAATCAATCCAATCCCAACAGTCTTAACCTTTTGCTTCATCATCTCATTCTGAGGCTCAATAACCTGTCCAAAGTTTGTCCTTACAAACTCCAAGAAAGGAATCTACGCATCTCATCAGCGATGACACTCAATATAAGGCGAGTGGTACAGAAACTAGAGGCCTCACATGTATGGTCTCCCACTCTCCGACCCTCCTAGCAAATAGTCTGTGTTGATGGATATCCGTCTCAACAATAGAATCGGTCTGTATATTGACGAAATACTTGCTTCCATCACTCTTAACCCTCAGTGCCAAATAAATATAAGGATCGCAATCCCAATACTGTCGCCCAAAGAGCGTCCTCCCTCTCTCCAACGTTCTCCAAGCAGCATATCCAGACCGTTGAATTTTCGGCCGTTCAACGGGCAGTTCAATGGATATATTTCCGCGGAATCTTCCATAGTATTGGCCCTCCGACAGGGGGCCTGGTGGACATGGTGTGAGATCCATGTGAACTTTACTGAAACCTCCGGTGTCTGCATCGGAAAAGACCTTGATGTTTTTGAGAGAATCTGGATGGCGGAAAGAGTGAATTTCCATATCGGCAAAGTCACCAGTTATGCCTTCGCCTTTGATGACTACAATCGATCATGTTAGGAATTGTAAATGGCGGGCTGGAGGAGGGTTTGCAAAGAAGCTACCGCTGAAAGTGTTGCGCTTCATCTCCTCTATGCTTCGCCGGAGGAAGCCACCCCGAAGAAGACGTAGTGCTGGCCGCATCGTGATTTATTGATCTTATTCAATGTTTGCTTTTTTCTGTTAACCACTATGATATTCTCGAGTGAATAGAAGTGAGGTTGGGGTGGGGTTGAGGCTCTGTTTTCCAACGTCACGGTTTCGGTTCAAAGGTCGTGCTCAAGTACTCGAGTAGTGTGATGGTGCAAATCCTTGCATGTGCCTATCATAATATCATTATGGTACATTCATTGGTTGGATGCACTTCCGCTACCATACTGTAATGGGCCGGTCATTGAATTGTTGCTTCTCACTGATGGTTACGGGCAAAAAAAAATTAATTAAGCACGCCTATACAATTCTAGTTCAATGATTGGTCTTTTATTGGTATCTAGGCCATTTATTTGTTTTTGTTTTTAGGTAATTGACGTACAACCCCTCACACACTCACAACCTCTCAAGTCTCCTTCCACTCACTGCCAGTAAGAAGCTCATAAGCTTCGTGGTATTTCTTGCTTGTTTCAAGAACAATTTCGTCAGGCATCACAATACCCGGTCTCCCCTTCACTCCACTCTCAGTCAACCAGTTTCTGAGGAATTGCTTGTCGTAGGAGTCCTGACTTCTTCCAGCCCGGTAGGCAGAGGAAAGCCAAAACCGAGACGAATCTATGCCACCATTAGCGCACGAATAATCAATGTAATTGGATCTTGAGAAACTAACCCGGGGTTAGAACTTCGTCAACAAGGACAACGTTCCCGTCCTCATCAAGACCAAATTCAAACTTCGTATCAGCAATAATAATACCTCTCTCAGCGGCGTAGTCACGGGCTTTGGTGTACAAAGCAAGAGAGAGCTTCTCAATCTCCTTTGCGTACTCATGGCCAACAAGTTGTGCGGTCTTATCGGGATGGATATTCTCATCTGCCGATAGTGTCAAGTCAGTAATTACCGTGCCTGTGCTTGTCCTAATCTTAGTAAATGAGATAGAAGAAAATTACCGTGTTTACCCTGAGCAGCCTTAGTGCTAGGAGTGAATAATGGCTTCTCAAAAGCCTGACTCTCTACCATCCCTTCTGGAACCCGAATTCCATGAACAGTCCCAGACTTCTTGTACTCAATCCAGGCGCTGCCAGTAAGGTATCCCCTAACAATAGCTTCAACTGGAAATATCTTAAGCCTTTTAACGACCATCGAGCGACCCTTAAGTTGCGCAGAGTACTTCTGAAGTTTTTCCGGGAGAAATTCCATGCTGGAAGAAACAAAATGGTTCAGGCCAACGTCCTTAAGAACAGTAGTAAACCAGAACTCGGAAAGGGCAGTCAGGAGTTTGCCCTTGTTCGGGATGCCCTAGTAAAGGTTAATTGATTTGTGTAAAAATTTAAAGAGGCTGTTGAAAGAAGCAAACATTTTTCATGATAACATCGTAGGCAGAAATGCGATCCGTTGCGACAAACAGTAGATGATCAGAGGATAGAGTGTAGACATCTCTAACTTTTCCTTGGGCAAGAAGGGGGAGTGTGCCTCTAAGATCAGTGCAGGTAAGAGCCATTAAGCTTTGCCGGCAGTAGGTTACGTTGATGTGTCGCGATTTTAGTGTGCCGATTGGATGGCTAGTTGGTTGACAAGGAAGGGAGGGAGGGAGGGAGGGAGGGGGAGGAGGGAGGCAGGGAGGCAGGGAGAGAGAGGTGCAGGGAGAGGGGAAGGGAGGAAAGGATGAGTGGTGAGCATTAAGGTGGGGGAGGGGCAGCGTGCGGACGAGAGGCTCAAAATAACTGGTAGGGTCAGGGATCGACGTGATGCACGCACTCACTGCTTGTAATGTTGTGACGTTTGTAAAACAGACTGCTACTGCTTATGATATGATCCACCAAATTTCTGAAGCTCTGGCCAATTTTTTGCTGTGCGCAATAACCATCCGTTTTACAAATCTCACGACCTTACTAGTATCATAGTCATTCGGAGTCACTCCCAACGGGCCCTCCTACTAGCCTAAAAGCTAGTCTCCTAGAGATTGCTTAGTCACTATGGTAGCTTGTCCGAGGGTGTGTGGGTACCCGAAAACACAACTGTGGTCTAATTTCACTCTACCGTAGTAGCCCGAGCTCGAATTCACTGAAATACGATACGATAAAAGACACACCTGAGAGCTAAGTTAAATTACGAGACCCACGACCCAGCGAACAATATTTCCCAGTTAGACTATCGGGCGCAGATTCAACTAACTCGCACCAACTGCCACAATACCTACAAAAAATATAGACCAACACACCGAGCATGAATAGTTTGGAAGCCCAAAACCAACCAATCCAGACCAAGATAATCATCTCAACGACTCAATACCCCGAGTGATTATCTGTGAACCGCAGGAACTGCACTTATCAATCCAAGGGATGCCAATGTCATCTAACCCATAATTGCCATAATCAGGCTTGCATAAGCTCCTGTGAGAAATTGCGAAAGAGAAAAGAAGTTTTTTATTCGAATAGCTTACAACTATTTCTATCCACAAACGGCCACCAGCTCAGTCCTTCTTCAGGTCTACAACCTCCTCAGAGACGCCATCTTTGGTGACCGTAATAATCTGCAGCCCATCTCCAACTTCGATATGGCGCTCAGTAGCAGAGGTAAAAGCGTCCTTCACTAATTTTGCAACCGTAACAGGATCAAGAGGTACTACTGGTCTCTCCTCCTGGCCCTTCGACGAAGGGACAAACTGGTTCTTGAATTCAACCTAGTTTCTTCAGTCAATATCACTCTGTGAGCCCGGGGTAAGGTTAACATACCTGATTGTCAAGGAAAGGGACAATCAGCGATGATGCAGAGCCAGCGGATGCCCGGCTCTCCCCTTGTTTGGAATACGAACCAACCGAATCATAAGAATATAGGCGAGCCCTCCCATCCTTATCCAGGCCAGCAAGAACACAATTCGCATATTTAGGAAAGAAGCGGTTGCCATAGAGAAAAGTGGAAAGGTACTGCGCAGCAGCAGAGACGCTCATGTTTTTCAAGTTGTGGTTGAATTTGAAGTCCTGTTCTCGATCAGTTTTATTGTCCCAAGTTCAAGAAGAGCGCAGCAAACATTAACAGCTCTCATCATAGTCTCAGCAACGTCTTTGGAATCAGCCCCGAATCCAACAGTTGCTAGCACGAGACTATTATCCTCTCCGAGCCGGTATACCTTCTTCTCAGTTCGGGAATTGATGTTGTAGCCGGATGTGTGCCTGGTATCTCCTGCTAGTACAACAAAATCTTCACCGGTAATCCCTATGATGGTTCCGCCATTGTCTGTGTAGCTGCGAGATAATCAGCTTGATGGGATGATGGATGGATGGACGGGGAACTCTACGGGTTAAAACTGTGCTGGGTGTATCCTCCTGAAGCTTTAGATGTCGGTGTATGGAAGGAATAGGACTGGTCGTAGCCGAGCGGCTGCATAAAAGGTAAAGACATATTTGTGCAGGTATCTCTATCGATTCGGTAGCTCGGAGATGGATGAAGCTGATGGGGTGAGGAGCTCTGTTAGAGGGGTTGAATGGTTGTCCAGGCAGCTTCTACCGACCGGCAACTAACGTTGAAAGCCGGGTAATGAGGCCCTCTATTTCTACGGGTATGGATCTCTTGGCATGCAGATTGTGGAAACTTCCTTGGGTCTTGAGACGCACTTTAACAGCCAACTTGATTTTCCATTCACCATGGCCCTGGTCGAATATGGCAGCGACAGCGGAGGTGACCAGGAAGAAATTCAACCCGAACCACAGCCAAAAGTCGCTGCCGGTGCCACACCCTTACAAGTAAGAAAGGTAAGTCTAGCGACTTCCACCATCCTTTTGAAAGCCACAGAGCGATGCTGAACTGACACGCGCCCAGGCGCGCCCAACTCCCGGTTCACCATTGAATCTCAAACCAGATGGAACCTCAAAAAGTCTTTCTTCTTTTACCCTAAAAAGAAAAGCTAGCGTCTCTTCTACTCACACCACCAGTCATGCAGAAATTACCTCTGTGCCATTCAAGAAGGTAGAACCTGAGCCGCAAATCCAGGAATCTGAAACGACAGATGACATCGGACCCATTCAGGGTCCCGCACGACCGCCTCAATCCCCGTCTCCCGTCCGACAGACCCCCGGATCCGAGCCACTATCACCTTACTCCCTTAATCGCGCAGCAATCCGATCTTTAACCTTACCGACATCAATACCGGAGATACCACCTTCGCCGCCGGGCGAGGAACACCCCGATGTTAGCTCCAAATTCAAGCGCTTCCGAGAGCTCAAGAGGCAAGGGATCCACTTCAACGAGCAGCTCTCACGATCATCCACCCTACAGAACCCGAATCTATTTGAGAAACTTACAGAATTTGTTGGGGTTACCGGCGGTGATCAGTATACGAGCTGTCTCCCGAAAGAGTTCTGGGATCCATTCGGCTTCCCTGAAGAGGCTTTTGCAGACAAGCTTGCGAAAAGGCAGATTGAAGTACTTGAGAAAAGGCAGGCAGAGGAAAGGAGTCGCATCGAGTTCGTGGGATCCACAGCTATATCAGCCCCCCCAGCACCATCATCATCAAGGGATAGAAGAGCTGGGAACGCTGGAGGCCAAAGTGCAGCAGAAAGAGTCATGGCAGGGTTAGATCGGGGAAGGGACAGGGAACGCGATACCGGGCCCAGGAGAAAAGAGTCTAGTGGGAGGTGGGAAGAACGAAAGAGAGAAGGCGACGATAAAAAGAAACGGTCGCGTTCGAGTTCACGGGAGCGGTCTGTTGGTAGAGGCAGGCAACGAGATTACGATAGGGCCTAGTTGGTCATTTGTATAACACCTAACCTATTCTTATTCATATTTGATAATTAGAGATACCCAGTTGTCGCTTTCCATGTATTTTCGAGTGATATATTGTGAGCACGAAGGCTGTCAGCTACTGTATGATGCTATAACCCAGGATATAATGGGAGGGAGATGTCTAATTGCTGTTTGCGTTCCCACGAGCTATCATAACTTAAAGTTTTGTTTGTAGGTAAATTTGAATCCCCAAATTTTGGGCCAAATGAGATCAGAACCCGTGAGAGTAAGCTTGCGTGCGCAGTGCTATTCTATACACACGAAACCCCCTTCCCCAGAAAGTGGCCTTGCCATGAACCTCACCCTACCCAAACTCCTAATAAAGAAATTGTATTTGTGCAACCATTATATTACGCAATCCTGCTTCCCCTGCTCATTCCATAGAGTGCCGAGTCAAGGTATCGTAACTCCCCTCGGAAGTAAGGCGCTCTTTTAGGACACTGGTACGGAGACAGACTTAACTCCACACAGAACAAGAGACAGTGTTCTAGGATACTGAATGTGTTTGCAGTCAGAATCTCTAGGGATAGTAGCTCTCACCGTTTCCGGGCTTGGTCGCGGCCATGTCGAACGAATGCAGGAAGGTACTCGTATCCTTAATTGGCTAGGGCCTCCCTTTAGTGAAACCGAGAGTGAATAAAGGAGATCGAGGTGAAAAATTGGAAGTGGGAAATTTCTTTCTCAAGAACTGAAACCTTCCCATTAAATGTGGTGTCTATTTCCTAGGCCCACCCCGCCCAATCCTTTCCCCCGCTCTTCCTCTTTCTCCTCATTTCCCTTGAGCTAGTTATATAGGGGCATTCCCCTACAAACAATCAACAAATTGCTAATGACAGACTATTGTAACCATATCATGAAAGCACCTGTTTGTAACCCTGAGTCCATAACCACCGTCGGTCGACAGTACGATAGCTCGAGGGAACAAGAACAGATTCCCTGTGCCACTTCCCGCACCTCCCGCACCATGCCCTCTTCCCGACACAGCAACCTAGCGGGCCCTCACGTTGCTATCAATTTTCTAGGTTGTCGTGCATCGAAAATAGAATCACTCCTATAGGTAGAAGGATTCGGTATTTCCTCTCTTTGAGAGCTTTGCTCGGTTCCTTCTAGGTGAGACACTCCGCAATGCCTCCGTTTCTCATCAACTATCAAAGAAGGAAACTGTCGACCCTCCATTTACTTCAGCTTCTTCAACTTTTTATTGTAACTCGATTTGTTTGCATGGCCTTTGTTGGTACTTTTTTCCACCGGCTCAAGCAACTATTGGGGAGGTTTGCGAGTGATTCCACTAGCCTCGGCACCGACAAGCCAGTTTTCATTCGGTTCTGGACTCACCACACGAGATATTTTCCTCAAGTGCGCTCTTTTGCCTATTCCCACCTAACGGTTAGAATACCGCGGGGGTTTCAAGGATCTATCAGCCGATTATTCTCCGTTCCTATGCACGGGAGCACGCAACAGAACAAACTTTGTTCAATGTAGACTTGAAATATCTTTTATAGCGTGGAAGCGGGGGCCTAGAGGAGAAAATCAAGGTCCTGTCTATGAAAAAAATTGTATTTGTTGGCGTTTGATATTGGATCAGAGGCTAGTATGTGGCTTGTCGAGTGATAGGGCGTGAAGCTTGATGATTTTATTTTCCGTCGAATCCCATAGTCTGCTGGGAGCTGCTCTCAAGAAATCTGGAAAAACAACGAGATCTGGAAAGCTTCCCTTATGATAATTATGATAGCCGGAAATAAATTAGGGTTTCAACCGAGACCTATTCCACCGGTCACTTGCGCGCTCTGAGGGACTAAGGGATACGTGGTTACTGCACCAAGATCCTTTGGCCACCAGTTCAATCTTGTGAGCTTCTGGTAAGTGACCTGTCTCATACACGGTTTTTAAACACCAGTGATTGCAATCTGACTATGGCATAGGTATCTCTACGGCAGGACATTCTCTTTATCTCCTGTACTTCTGGAAGTCAATAGTACTTTGGGTGAACAGCATCTATACTTACAACCTAAGAAACCTTCTTCTCGGTACCTATTCCGGAAACATCCGAGACACGCAAGAGGCTCACTAGCATAGTCTGTTCTATTGGGCCACCAATTGACATCTGCAAGCTTTCCAGGTTGCCAATCCCGAAAACTTCCACCGTGATGATGGATTGGTGGAACAGGTTAATCGCGTTCCCGAGAAACCCCTTCCAAGCAGCTCAACTATATATGAAAGATTGCAGAGATACCGCATGCCAAAAATTCTCTCGTGAAGTATTAGTCGCAAAGCTAGTGCTCTAGAAGCGTATATTACCTCCGCCCCCCCTTCTTATACACCAATTGTAGCGTAAACTGATACATGAATAGCTGTCTAGAAAGTTGCTTTCGCGGGTACATCTAACAAAGGGTTTCCGAATATCCCAATCCGATAATATTCCGATATATATCCGCTGGGGTCAAGCCGGAGTGTCATACATTCTCCAATACCGACACTACTCCTCTCGACATGCCGGCAGAACCCGACCTCATAGCGCTCAGGGCGCGATTTTACCTATCTTGGGCTATGCACGACACGCCCCCATACCCAAAAACCGTCACGGCCGAAATGAATGGTGTGTCCAAATGATGAATGTTTGATCTCTTTGCTAGACAGAAGTGCAAAGCACCAGAACGAGGAGGGGCCTCTTTGGTGGCTCATGAGCAAAATTCAGGGTGGGACAAACCCAATCTTGGTTGCAGCAACCATCTCTCCGAAATATGATGCTCCAATTTCCCTTAACACGGAAGGGAGTACGAGTACGAGTACTCTACAGTACTCGAGTACAGTAATCACAAATGGTGCGTCGCCCACACTGATGTTGGGCACTCTTGGCAGGCATTGCACTGCACAGTACTAGTACACTGTTACGCTCGACCCGGTGCTTAGAGCTTCGCTCCTATGTATCACCGTCTGGGGCGCGAAGACACTATTCTTTCCATTCCATCTCTGATCTCCTATGCTCTTTCAAAGCCATTTTCTCTTTACATATCCTTGTTACCCAAAAAAAAACCCATGTTTCTGCTACGGTACCTAAAACCTGTAGACCATGTGTTATCTCCACGTTAACAAACGCAGACGTTGGCAGCCATACCCGACCTTAACAGACTGATTATTGCATAGTATTCTCCAACTTGGAAACCCACTTGTAAAGTATTGTGCTATGCTCGGACGAATGAAATTACTAGTACATATGAATCCCATGTCACTCAAGAGGTCATGCCTCCGAAGACTGCTATATATTCTTATGGTATGGTGTCCGAGTTCAGTTCCCGAAGAAATAAAATGCGGGGAAGAAGGATAACCTGATAACAACAAACTAACCGCAAAGACATCTCAACAAAGATCGTCTCCGTCTTTCAGGTCAAATTTTGAAACTGAATGGCCCCACGCGATCCCTGCAACTTGAACCCCATCACCAACTTTTCCCCAAAGCAACCTAGCTCCACATAAGCATTTCCGGCAGAGCTACAAGGCTGACCCGAGGCCCCATCTCATTTCGACCAGAAAACATTACGGAGAAAAGCCTAGGGAGCCTCCCATTCAGTCGAGAGTCTCGCAGGGCCTTAGAGACTCCTATCGCATGTTAAGGACACAGCAAACAACAATCTACGATGCTCTTGACCTCCTCGCTTGGCACTCTACAGCTCCTAACGATACTAACTCACCTTGTCAGCGCACCCTATACTAAGGTTGAGGAATCCTTCAATCTTCAGGCCACACACGATATACTCCAGTACGGTCTTGCCACGGTGAATGCCACCGCTTCCTTACAGGCAGATTACGACCACCTTACCTTCCCCGGGGCTGTACCAAGGACGTTCGTCGGGCCCGTGATTCTGTCTGGGCTAAGTAGCCCTCTGATCGGCGTTGTTGGGGGGAGAGTGAATGGGCAGTTAGTTGGTTTGAGCTCCTCTATGTACTACTTTTTGATTACTTTACTGACGGGACGGTTCGTTGGTTGGGTGGAATATTAGTGAGGGGTGTACTGGGTGGTCTTAGTGCGCTGAGCCTGAATCTGTTCACCAGGGCGGTCAGACAAAGTTATGGATCTACGACAGCAGTGTTATATACTCTCTTCCAGCTATCGCAATTCCATCTACCGTATTATTCATCTCGATTATTGCCAAATACTTTCGCACTGATACTTTCTACCACGGCGTTCTCATTCTTATTACCAGCCCCTGGGACACCTTCTAGACGACAAGTCGGGCACTATAAAGTTGGGATCTACATTTTGACTTTCACATCCATCGTCTTCCGTTCCGAGCTAGCAATACTACTAACCTTCGTTTCGCTACAGCTCCTCCTCACCCGCCGAATCGGCCTGGGTAACGCCATCGTGGCCGGTGTGGCCGGTGGGGTAATTGGACTAGGGATAACACTGGGGATAGACAGTTACTTCTGGCAATCATACACCCCCGCCGCGCCATTCAATACCCCACTGCTGACCGAAAAAACCGGCCTGATATGGCCAGAGTTATCCGGGTTTCTCTACAATGCTATCGAGAACAAGAGTAGCGATTGGGGAACGTCCCCGTGGCACTACTACTTCACCAACTCCCTCCCAAAGCTCCTACTAAACCCCCTCCTACTCTTACTCATACCAGCAGGAATCTATAACTCCCCGCGCACCATCACCGAAGCCTACATTCTCCCCGCACTCGGTTTCGTAAGCGTGTACTCCGTCCTCCCACATAAAGAATGGCGCTTCATAGTCTACGTCGTGCCAATTCTAACCCTATACGCCTCCGTCGGCGGGGCCTGGGTCCTCAACCGCCGATCAAAATCCCCCATTTATGCCCTCACCTCCCTAGCCATTATCTCCTCCATCCTCCTCGCATCCCTCGCAAGCGCAAGCATGCTACTAATAAGCTCATACAACTACCCAGGCGGTCAAGGCATTAACAAACTCCACCGCCACATCCTCCCCTCCTTCTCCCGCTCCCCCCCAGCATTACCAAAAGTCCACTTAGACACACTTACCTGCATGACGGGCGCAACCCGCTTCCTCCAAGACGCTCCCCTCTACCCCTCCCCTTCCCCTCACACCTCCCCATCCGCAAGATCGAAAATCACCTTCGACAAAACCGAAGACGAAACAACCCTCCTCACACCCTCTTTTTGGTCTGACATCCAATGGGTGATAACTTCCTCCCCACCGCGCATCATCGGGAAATACGAGGTTGTGGATAGCGTCACTGGATGGGCGGGCATTCGCATATACCGTCCCGGGGAGAAAGTCTGGCTGTATGAAGAGCCGGGATTGGAAGAGCAAGGGGCGGACAAGCCGGGGGTTGGGAATGATAGCAGAATAAGGAGTTGGATTGGAAGAGGGATTGAGGACGGGTGGGGGGTTAGGGATTTGTTACTTAGGGGGTGGTGGGTTGGTGTTAGGATGGAAGAGTTGGTTTGGGTGCTTAGAAAGCAAGATGGTGAGAGGTAGAAAGGGGACGGGGGGAAGCGGGGGTCTGATGTCTTTTGGGAAGAAATACCGTAATAAATTTTGGAGTTTTACTTTTTCTTTTTGTATTATAACAAGGGTTTTTTTTTCTTCTTTTTTTTTTCGATAATAATATTATGATAATACGGTATATCATACCGTAGGTGGTCCTAGTGTCATACGGCAGGAACTTTGCCAGTCACAAAGGTCTCAGAGAAAAACTCGAGAGGAAAAAAAAACTTTGGCCAAGTGAGATCCTAGGACGACGTTCGCATGAAATGTTTATCAGCGCACTGATACCGGAGAAATTGATACCTGGCTTGACAGCCGCTTGACCAACCCGCTGCTTGACCTCGCAATCGCTCACGGATTGGTTCCCCTGGGGGTCCAGGTTTCCAGACGCCGATCGCATCTAATCTTATCATCTCCACAAATCTCACATCAACGTTGCGTCTCCTTTTCCGCTCAATCGCCTTTAAGCCTCAGATCTATAAACGCAACATACCCCTTAACTCCCCCACGTCTATTGTATAGAGCTCCATAGCAATGGTAAATAATTTCCCCTATCCCCTTAATTCTTTAGATTAGGCTTCCGGAGCTAATGATGAGTAGGTTGTACTTGCTGCCTCAATTTGTACCCGTGGGGGGAAGGCTGTGCTATCACGGCAGTTCCGTGAGTGAGACTACCCGCTATGGCCCGTTGGAGGGACGAAATCGGAGGCTAATGAGTTCTATAGAATGCCCCGCTCGAGGATTGAGGGTCTCCTAGCCTCGTTTCCGAAGCTTACTGACACTGGTACTCAGCATACCACCATTGAGACGGAGAACGTTCGATATGTCTATCAGCTACTCGTCCGTTATACCTACTTTAGCTTTATTGAAAATGATGGGAAAGTTGACGCTATGAACAGGATGAGCTTTATTTGGTTCTTATTACAAATAAGCAGTCCAATATCCTCCAGGATATCGACTCCCTGCACCTCTTCGCTCAGGTCGTTTCTTCTATTTGCAAATCGCTTGACGAACGGGAGATTCTTAAGCATTCGTTTGAGCTATTGAGTGCTTTCGATGAGGTTGTTTGCCTGGGCTACAGAGAAAACCTGGGGCTACAGCAGGTCAAAGCTTTCTTGGAGATGGGGAGTCAGGAGGAGAAGATTCAAGAGATTATCTCAAGGGTATGTTTGTTCGCTCAACAATTGGAGGAGGTATATATTAACTGAATATAGAATAAAGAGTTCGAAGCTACCGAGGAGCGGAAACGCAAAGCGAAGCAGCTTGATCTTCAACGTAAAGAGATGTCTCGCAATCCCACTGGTATGGGGTCGACAGGACGTTCAGGTGGATCTCATTCTTCCCACTTCCCCACTTACACCCCTACACCGAAGCCGGTTGTTGCCGACTCGTACGACACCTATGAAAAGAAGAAGACCTTTTCCTCTGCGCCGAAGGGCAAAGGTATGCAGCTTGGCCGCAAATCCAAGACGACGGAGATGTTCGATCAGGTACGCAATGAGTTAAGCCCTGAGGCGGAAGAACGTGCTCCACTTGTTCAGGCGCAAGAGACTGCTGCTTCACCGAGACAGAGCTTCAGTGGCGACAGGAAGGCTATTCAGGTTACCATTTCTGAACAGATCAGTGCCGAGCTTTCTCGTGACGGCGGAATGAAGAGCTTTGAAGTCAAAGGTGATCTGCAGCTCAAGATTCTGGACCAAACCCTGTCAAAGGTCAAACTCAACATCTCAGCAAACACCTCTGATGCACAATTCCGCACACACCCGAACGTGGACAGAGCGTTGTTTAATGGACAGTCTGTTATTCAACTGAAAGACCAATCTCGCGGTTTCCCGCAAAACCAGCAAATTGGTGTTCTCCGTTGGCGCACCACCACTGGTGAAGCCCCGCTTTCCTTCACCATCTGGGTTAATGCGGGTTCCAGCCGTGGAAAGTACAACGTCACAGTCGAATACGAGCTTTCTTCTGATGATACTCTCAGGGATGTTGTTGTCAGTATCCCGTTCAGGCATGATGAACCATCTGTCACTAGTGTGGATGAGGTCTACGAGGTTGCGGGGGATAGTCTTGACTGGACACTCCTTTCTGTTTCTGAGGATAATGCTACTGGAAGTTTTGAGTTTGAAGCGGAGGCGGATTCTGAGGGAGAGTTCTTCCCAATGACTGTGAGGTTTAGGAAGGAGAAGCCGATTGTTCATGTTGATGTAAGTTTGCTTTCTTATGTTTTCTCTCTCTTTTCTTTTTTCTATGGGGCGCTGTGCTAACGGATTGCGTAGGTTGACGGCGTGACCTTGATAGAGGTGGGCGAGGGTGTCGATTTTTCCAGGGAAATTAAGGTTGTCGCGGATAATTATGTCATTAATTAGATTGGATTTTTTTTTTTTTTCAAAGATGACGATTGGGTTTTTTTGTTGTAAGTTGGGTGTTAAAAATTAAAGTGGAGTGATGTTTCTTTGTCGCGATTCCCGGTCGGCCATAAAATAGGTTGTCTTTTAGAAATTGTAGATATTGTCTCTTGATGATCTTGAGTAATTGAGTATTCTGAGGGTTGTGCTCGAGTGACGAGTCTACACGATGCATTTGCGCATTTCAGAGTATCGCCACTGTACTAGTATCTGGTATAATATCTATGCCTCCTGTTCTGCCCTTCATAAATCACATCCCATAATCACATACCAATCATCCCAAACAAGTTCCATACCGACATCATTTAAGAGACCCCCAACCCGCCTCTCGGTTGGCTTTTAAGGGAAGGGGGGTAACAGGTACTGTAATTTTGACTTTTATAATCCGTCACCACCTATCATATGAACTTGGGGGGGGGGCCTCCTACCGTATCATACTCGTACTCAAAAAAAGGGGCTGGGAGATTTGACGATCAACGGTTCCTTGGAGAACGTCACGCAGGAACGCTACCAGTACTGTACCACTAACTTTTCGAAGTATGATAACCAGAATTTCCGATGACCCGATCAAATTCTTTCTACAGTATCATCATACTGTAAATAGGGACGAAGAACTTGGATTCCGACGTTCATTAAAGTACCGAAGAAAAAAAAAAACTTTTCATGTGAACTGTTTTAAAACATTATTCGGTTTTAAAGCATTGCGCTGTCGAGAGACAGTAAAAAAGTACATGATCCAATGACGACAAATAAATCTCCTGTCTGTGCCTGAACAAAAGTTATAGATTGGGAGGTTTTCGAAGGAAAAAAATATATAAAAAAATTGGGTATATATGTCCAATAAAGACCTCGAAATCGCCAGCTTGCGCGTCGACACGTAAAAAGGTATCTCTCTTATCCCAGGAGAATAATAACTAAGAGTACAGCACCAAAAGTAACCACAAGAACATGACACCAAACTTGGAAATCGAAGCACGCTAGGGTGTCTTCGCACGTCCTCTCCTTTATGAAAGACATTGTCCACAGGAACAAGTAAAGGGGTTTTTCAATGAAGAAAAGTTAAAAAAAAAAAAAAAAAAGTAAAAATTACAAGGAAATGAAAGAATTTTCTGCACCCTTCCAGTGGGCTACCCCCCGAGAAAATTGACGGTTCAAACAAGACACGATGTATCATTCATCTCTGCTGAAAATGAACCCCTCAAACGTAAAAACACTAAGGGTTACCGCTTCGACCAGGAAATTTTAACCAAAGAGACTATGCACATATCGCAAAAAGAAAAAGAAAAAGCAATACTTTAATACGCAGTTGGGACAGCTGACGTGCTAAGCATCACCGTCTTGAAAATGCTGACGGTAGTGGTGCTGGTTCTTGTGGTGGTGCTCCGTGTGGTTGAGTTTTGGTATGGTGGCGGCATAGAATTATGAGTGGATGGGACGGGAGCGCCCGCAGTCTGGGATACTGTTAGTGACCAATATTTATATGTATGTAGGATCATAAATACTTACCACTGTGTTGTAGATAGTGATATACGTCGGAACGTATACAGTCTCGACGCTAGGGCAAGTGGGAGCACCAGTAACAGTAAGGGTCCCACTTGCGGGCGCAGTGGCATAGGAGATAGTGGTACTGGTGCGAGTGGACTGGCCGCTACTCGGGACCGGGCTCGAAACAACAGGAGCGAGAGTGGAAGAAGCAGACACAGGGGAGACAACAGGAGCCGACTCAACCACCGGAGCGACAGTCAGGGTAGCCTTGACGTGGGCAATTGTTTTGGCAGTAGTCTCATACTATATCAAAATTGTTAATATCTAAAATCTTGAAACAATATATCCGATATTGGAGTGAAGTACAACATACCTTAGTAATAGTGGTAACAACTTCTTTCCCACTTCCCAGGGTGTAAGTGACAGTAAGACACTTGGTGATTGTCTGGGTAAGAGTAGTGGTGTAGTCCTGTTCTGGAGTACCGGCAACATCTGGAATGATACTTGTAGTGACAGGACCCAGAGCGGGGCTACCAGTTCCAATGGCAGTTGGGTAGACATCGGTGAGGTTCCCATAGGCGTACCTCATGTGGAGATGGCGCTTGGCCATATGTCCACGATAAGAAGCTTCAGAAACTGCTGCGAAAGCTGCAAAAGCGGCAGCGAGAAAACTGAATGAGACCATTTTGATACGATCTTAAATCCTGATTCTGGGTCTTTTTTGTTGTTGAGAATTATCGAATTGGGTACAAAATCGATAACGGATTGCCGTTGGTAGAAGAGGTCAAGCGCTGCTATAGAAAGAAAAGAAAAATGTACCAAAGAAAATTGATTTTTTTTTGATTTTTGATTTTTTTTTTAATGAAGTCGTAGTTGGATCTGAAGGAGTGACTAGGCAGATGCCAAAAAAAAACGCAAGGTAAGGAACGTGGGACGCTGGCGGCTGCAGAGTGATGGGATGTGGATGAGAAGAGAGTGAAAGAAAGTTCACGAGAAGGGGGGAGGACGAGAAGAAAAGGACTCGTGCCAAGTGAGGCGGGCCAGGACATCACTCACACTCTCTCATTGTGTTATTCAGCAGTCGCTGCTTACCGGTATCTGCAAATTTGCTTTCACCCCGACCATTGTTCCTGGTGCAGTACAGTACCAGGAACGGGGGTGAATGATGCTCGAGTGACTGGGACATTGGCGCCGCGACCCGCACATGCTATCATACTACTCGTATGCAGCGCGCCCCAGTACAAGCAGGGTACCGGTACATTCACAAGTATATCCGGTCGGTGGGAAGGTATACAAGCACAAGTGCTGGTACTAGGACCGCATTGCCAGATCGATGCCCGCAACAATTGAGCACGATAACAAGCAAGTATCATACCCTCTGCGTCTCTCCAAAGACCGTGTTGGAGAGGAATTGGGGGCATTTCCGTGGCAAACACCCACTACCGTATTCACTTGGGGCTCCTATTACCCGCACCCATGCAAATGAAACAGACTTTTTGTACCACAAAAGGTATAGACCAAGAATAATGAGAGGACAAACTGCACAAGCCAGGGCAATGAATGAGATTAGAGGGTCGGGGATTATACCCTTGTTCACAGTGAAACCTCCCAGCCTGACGATCTATCGCTTGTCATTCTCTTCCCACGAACCAATCAAGAGACCGGACGAAGACAATAGTAACACCAATGTTGTCTCCCCATGGTACTCGTACAGTACCGGTAGAGTGCTCGTCCCAGGCAAGAAATACCCGAACATTGAAGGTGTAATTTTGTTTGCACGCAGGAAAGTGCACGGATGATTGGCCATATTCAAGTACCCTATCTTTCCAATCCCTGTGTTCGGATGCAGTACCTACGAGTACTGTACAGTACGGTACTAGTACCCGTACTTCTTGGCCGAGACGAGTTAGAAACAGTGATATAACTCTACCGAACCAACATCACAATAAGAAATTTCCTCTTGCCCCACTTTCTTTCTAGTACGGTTTGTTCCAGCGTTGAGAGAGTCTCGCACTGCGAGTACCCGCACAGAAAATAGGCACCACAAACAATGGAAAGACTTGCCAAATTCTCGCGGCTCGGGAATCCCTCGCGACGCAGGAACAGACTGTACATGTATTGTTTGTTTTCTTGCGATGAGTCCTGCAAGTAGACCAGTAAAGTTTGTCGCCATTCCGGCACTAAATAACCGCCATAAATAAGCTCACTGCACAGTACGGTACGGTCGGTACTGTGCCAGGTGCCGGTACAAGGCGAAGATCCAGGCGTATTTTGGGCTTGAACCGCACCAAGGTTTCCTCATACCTGATTTCCCCGAGTACCGTACCGTACCCGTACAGGATAGTGTCGTGATGAGAGCAGGCCATCCGGATGGGGTGAAAGAGCGAGTCTGCTCCACCGAAACGAAACAACCACATCTCCACGGCCTTGAACCCAATTAAATAAGGTTTTTTACAAGCCTCAGCCAATTTCCTCTACCATGATTCCGGGTACGAGTATCCCACCCTGAGAACACCTTGATTGGAGCATGGGTTCTTTTTTTCTCGCCCTCACTACCGTATGATGATAATGGTGCAATCCTGCACGATATGGGCACTCTCATTTGTGAGATTCACAGCAGCCTCCTGAGCTGTTCCCCTGCCGTTCCCCGTGAATGTTTGTATCGGTAAGGGGCGTCATGTACGAGTACTGTACCCGAGTAAAGAACAGAATGTTGTATCGCACAAGCATCGTGCTCGAACACGGGGAACGCATCTCCAAGGTAAAACACGGATGGCGGCATCAGGAAAAAGGACTGAGAGACCCTCTGCGTCTGCTCAGGAATGATATCAGGTGTGCAGCAGGGTCAAGGTCTTGCCAGAGGAGACGAAGAGCTAGTCTCAGCCATTCATCCTCCCACCCGAAAAGTCATGACCCCAGCCAGGTGTTCGGCAGTTGAGCCTCCCCCCCTTTTTTTTTGCATCATACCGTGCAGGTATCTTATCCAACTCCCCCCCCCTGGCTGGACGTCTGATGAGAAAGTCCAAGCTCATCACATAAATAAATGATCAAGGCCAATATTGGCTGATTTAAAGATACTTGTACGATGGAGAGCTGTGTCACACATACTATAATTTAATACGGTACTCGTATGAGAACTCGGATAATTTGACCTGGTGCTATTATACTACTCTAAGACGTTGGAGCTGCCTTTACTAGTAAAGTCTATCACCTCGCTTTCCGTTTTGTCTCAAGTTGGGGCTGATAGGTCGGTTTTTGCTGTGTTTCCAAGCCCTACCCAAGAGAGGGAATTCTGGACGTCCTTGTGTGAGGCCCAATTACTCGGGTATCGGTATTCGAGTCCTTGTGGTGCTCATACGTATATGATAACATTATGGTAAGCAGATTACATATCATACAAGTACCGGTAGTTCACACTTCGCAGATCTCCAGATCAATTGCTCCCTGCACGGTAGGCCTAAAGTTCCTCAGTATGACATTTTCACCTGTAGGGAATTGTGCGATAATTCTTCAATAGTATATGGGGGCGGTATACATCCGATAAATTCTGCAGTAGCGCCCTTTTGGGGTACGGATACAGCTTGTCGAAACTTGAAATTCGCCTTTGCTCCCCCCTTCACACCTCAACGATCGCTGCATGGTGAAGGGAGCTGCGTTTCGCTCTTCTTTCCTAAAAAATGCGGGGAAAAGATCTCTCCTAAATATCGGAATGTGATAAATGTCTGTTATACAAGGAACGACTCGGAAAGTCGTGGATGGCCGAGGTAATGTGTCAGTGCCTATTTGCTATATAAGTACGATATACCATACGGTAAGTAATTGGAGAATGGGCAAGTATTAGATTGTATCTAGCCACAATTGCAATCTTGGCAGTTGAAATAAGAGTGTAAAACGGGAGGTATAGGTTTCTATGATGTATAAATATATATATATATAAAAATTTGCGAATAAAATCAGTGAGGAAGTCATCATAATACCGGTACCAACTTGGCTTTCACATCCTGATGGAGGAGTGCATTAATTTTACATCAAACCCCATACTCCGAGCCCTATATGACAAAAGTTGCTCTTGGAATAAGTATTATTATGATTAGGCTTTTTCCTAATAAATTCGAACACATTTTACCAAATAATATTATGACATTACACTGAGCACATTACACCGAGCTCATCGTCACATTGAACACAGCGCAGTGAGCCAACCCCTACAATGCGAATGCGGAGGCTCGAGGTCCCGAATGGGTATCATATCATATCATACTTATGATACTAGTCCATGATATGATACCCGTACAGTGCTAAAAAAACCCCTCAAAACCCTAACCACGCTAGTTTCCGATACCGTAGCTGCCCTTTCGGCTATCCTACCGTATAGAACCCAGACGAGCCCCACTTTTTTTCCCTCCCCTCACCTACCTAACAAATCAAACGGGCCAACTTCACGAACGTAAAAGAAAGAAAAGAAGAAAAGAAAAAAAGGTTCGCCCGATATCCTACCTGTCCATTCGCCCTTATATCTGCTAACCATCTACCCAATAGGCGTGGAGATTTCCTTCTTTCGACGAAAACCCGTGATCATGGCAACTGTCGTGCTCGGAACTCAATTCGGTGACGAGGGGAAGGGAAAACTCGTCGATATCCTCTGTTCAAATGTCGACGTCTGCGCGAGGAGCGCAGGCGGGAACAACGCTGGTCATACCATCGTTGTCAATGGAGTCACTTACGATTTCCATATTCTACCCTCAGGTCAATTCTCTGGTCCTAGCCTTTTGATTTTCTCATGCAATCATGCGACTCTCTTCCTGCCTTGCGAGAAGTGGCATACTTTGGGCTTGAATTAGCTGACAAGCTGCCCTCCAATATTCTACCAGAGCCTCAGGCCTCGTCAACCCTAAATGCCTCAATATTATTGGGTCAGGTGTTGTCGTTCATATTCCCTCCTTCTTCCATGAATTGGACAATATCCAGAAGAAAGGCCTTGACACTACTAATAGGATATTCGTCTCTGACCGTGCTCACCTTGTCTTCGATCTTCACCAATTGGTTGACGGACTTGAAGAGGTTGAGCTAGGTGCAAAAGGGATTGGAACCACTAGAAAAGGGATTGGGCCAACATACTCTACCAAGGCTGCCAGGAGCGGCATTCGTGTTTACGAACTTTTCCATTGGGAGGAGTTTGAGAAGAAGCTAAGACTTCTCGCTGCAGGCTACAAGCGTCGCTTTGGCGACCTTCTCAAGTACGACGTCGAGGAGGAATTGTCTCGGTACAAGGTAGGCCATCTGTTGATAAGATATCGGAAATTGACCCCTACTCACTACCTTTCACAATTAGATTTACTACGAGACTCTCCGTCCATACGTGGTTGATGCCATTGTGTTCATCAAGAGCGCCTTCGAGACCAATAAGCGGGTTCTCGTAGAGGGAGCCAATGCACTTATGCTTGATATCGATTATGGGACCTATCCGTTTGTTACTAGTTCTAACACTGGTATTGGCGGCGTTATTACCGGATTGGCCATCTCGCCTTTTAAGATCAAAAACATTATCGGTGTTGTCAAGGCTTATACTACCAGAGTAGGGGCTGGTCCGTTCCCAACGGAGCAGTTGAACGTGAGATCCCCAGAGATGGCCAAATTCAAGACTGGTTCGATTGACAAGTGGTATCTCTATATATAGGGAACTGGTGATCACCTTCAGAGTGTCGGTCGTGAATTCGGTGTTACAACCGGAAGAAGACGTAGATGCGGGTGGCTCGATCTTGTGATCGTAAAATACTCCACCTCTGTTAACCATTACACCAGCTTGAACTTGACCAAGCTTGACATCTTGGATGGTCTAAAAGAGATCAAAGTTGCCGTCGGCTATCGTGTAGACGGAGAGGAACTCGAATCGTTCCCAGGTGTGTACCCCGACACCCCCCGGTTCTCCTAGGTTGGGATGACTGACCGCCCCCACAGCCGACCTCACCATTCTCGAGCGTGTGGAGCCGATTTATAGGATCTTCCCGGGCTGGCCTACACCTACTGCCAAGGCTACCTCTTGGGATCAGCTCCCCACCGAGGCTCGGGAATATGTTCAATTCATTGAGGGGTTCGTCGGGGTCAAGATCGAGCATATTGGAGTCGGGCCTGGTCGCGAGCACATGTGCACGAAATAGGTACCGTGCCCCATCGTTGCTTTGCTCTCTCTTTGCTTGATCTGTTTTCCTTTGTTTCGCGAGGGCTATATCCGGAGTTTACGGGTCCGTTGAGAGAGGGTTCGGTGGCTTGTACAGTACAGCAAATATAAAAAGTGGATAGAAGGGTTACGATTCCTATCCAGATACCTGGCCGTACAATACCGGTACCGTGTCTTTTACAGTGCCGATAGTATTTCGAGTACCCTATTGCGTCAGGATCCGAGAATGAGACTAAGCCTTTTTTCCTTTGGTTTGGCGGTTGCATAACAGCTGAACCGGTATTTTCGGATAGTTGCGGAATGGTTTATCTTGACGCCAAGGCGTCTGGATACGCGTGCTTATGAATTGGCGAGTGCCGGTAGAAGGATCATACCGTAGTCTACCGACAGTCTACTCGAGTACCGGTACGAGTACTGTAATATCATGAACTGAAACCGACGGTACCGGTATTGCGCAAACGGCACAGAAAAAAAAGAAAGAAAGAGAGCAAGAGACACACGTGTTGCATCATCCCCGGAAATTAGGTTTAGAAACGAGCGCCACGGAAGGGATACAGTACTTGTATCATACACTAAATTAACCTCAAGAGGTAGAGCATCACCCTCACCTCACCTCACCTCCTCACCTCCTCACCCCCAGTCTGCTCTACCCGCGAAATTCCAAATGTATGATACAGTACGAGTACCCGTGAGGTCGCACGCCAAGCCTCTCGAAACCGCCCGCAAATCTTAGAGCCTTGGCAGGGCGACCCCCGGATACCTGGAGAATGGCGAGTGTGCGCTCGAGTACTCGTACTGTACTTTACGGTAGCCTAGAGCCCGCTGTGCTATGTCGTACGAGTAGAAGAGGGTCTGAGGATAGAGAGCACTCGGTCCCACTAGCCCAGACGAGCGGGATGGGCCACAATCCCGTGTCTTCCGGGCTGTTGGGGCTGTTTAGGGGGAAGATTGCTGTATCGTGCCGGTGCTGCTTGGTTTAGACTGCCGGGCCCGCATTTTACCACGCTTCGAGTGATTTATTGTGATATGAGTGCAAACGCGTTTTTGTCTGCACTGTTTTCTTCGATTTTTCCTACTGTGCCTGCCCAGCGGGGGTTTGGGGACCGTTGGGTTACGATTACGGGTACAATCGGTGTACTAGTAATAGCGAGCCGAGTGAGTTTCGTTCGGCCACCTGGAGCTTTGGAAATGACATTATGGTCCTGTTGTTGGGGCCGCGGTGCTCCTATCGTCGCGGCGATGCGATTTCATGAGCAACGCGGACCCGGTTGGGGTCTGCGAGGGGGGATGGGGGTGGAGGGTACTGGGTGTGATTGGGGAAGGAAAAGGGGAAATTTCCAGCGGGATTATGAAGTGGTCATGTTCGATCTTTCGCCGCATAGATGACGGGTATCATACGGGTAAGTATGTAACTACTTACGGATATGGTTCCGCCCACGATAGGCCAACAGAAACTTTCTGTGGAAAAAGCACGATAGGTCCAGGGAAAAGGTAATGCCTATGATACCTCAAAAATTTAAAGGTTTTAATTGTAAAAAAAACTACAATGTAGCTAGGAGGTCTATCGGCAATGCCTGTTTCTTAGAAAATCATTGTAGTTATTAAGTACCGGATTTATATAAACTTTTGAAGGTATTCCATGTTCAGTCTAAGGCCAGATGAGGCCCGGAAGTCGGACTGCAGCCGACAGTCATGCCAGCTCGGAACCGGAATCCGAAAAAGTCCAAGCCGGACTGACCGCCCGTGAGCCAGCCTCAGTCGTGCTTGTTGTACTATAGAGTCTTTACAGTACTGAGGAATCACAACTGCTATCTATCATATGAATCATCAGGCTAGGGGGAAGGAGGACAAAAAAAAGCCTGCCGATCGCGAACCAACCCCCTCAGGGTACTGGTCCAGAGTCGAAATCTGCCACCTCTCTCTCCCAGTTCCAGTAGGGCCAGGAATCCCAAAGTATCCTGCCCTACCTGATGGAGAATTCAACAACAACCCCGCCTCGAGCTGGAATTGAACTCCTGGGCACCCACTAAATGCACAGGAGGTCAATTTGTTCTCGACATATTAACCACTGCGCCAGCTAGGTATTTCAAAATGTTACCATGGAAACAAATACTTATCCTACCAGCGCACCACACTCTACCCACTTGCAGCGAGCACTATAATAATATTATGGGTATGGATATGACAGCGAGTTTTAGGAAGAGCGAGTTCTTGATCCCGTTTTTCATTCTTAAGGTTCTCCCGTTCTATCAAGTTCCCGATATATATATAGAAGGGGTCCTCTTGTCCACTAGTATGATAACAACTAGAACGGCTACCCACGAGCTCTCCGATTTTAATGCAGCTACGACACATATTCCCCCCAATAACACACATCCCGCAGCGGTTCATTCCATCTGGAAGTTTCTAGGGATTTTACGGTGAGGGTATATGTACGATGGGGGGGGGTGTGATGCTTTTTTTTGTTTTCTAGTGGACTGCCGGAATATGTGTCCGCTGATCCATATCATATCATCCATAGATTTCTGAGCGCGATATACCGAGTATAATATGGCGCACTAGTATCGCACACCAGACCTCTGTCGGTCCGTCTCGTTCTTCCAGTTCCCTTCCCTTCCCCCCAGTTTGGCCCCCAAGGCAACGGCGTGAATGCTTTGATCGCGAACGTTTTTGTCGGGGTTCGTGAAAACACCTACGGTACTCACCGAGGAGGAGTAGGAGGAGAGAGGGTGTGCCCTTCCGATCATTTCTCAGCTCGAAATTCTACCATATGATGCCATAATCTAGCTGTGTTACTCGAGTGATATCTCGTGACGGCTGATCTCTAGTCAATATATTCTTGGATTTCTTTCTTTCTTACTTTCTTGCTTTCTTTCCGACGCCGACTAACACCATACTGTACATCAAACTTACTTCTCACGCCTTGCTCAACGCCCAGCACGAAAGGTTGAGCCTCACCTTATCGAGCTGATCCTGTCATACCCATTTTGCCATGATAGTTATCATACCATCCATACCCACCAACCCATGGGGGAAAAAAGGAAGAAGAAAAAAAAAGGTAGGATTGCAAGGGAACCTATCGAGAGAGCGCATTTCCCGATCGTTAACAATGATAAGAAAGAGAAAAAAAGCAGCATGTACACCCTGGCACAATAAGGGCTACCATATTCGCAACTTTGATATTCCCGCCCGGGACAGAGGCATGCAGAGCAGACAATTCTGGAGTTAGGTATGATACGTCCCCTTTACCATACGAAAAACAAACAGGTTTCGCGGTGCTCGGGGCATCATACCGTAGGTTATATCCGTTTCTATCATACGAGTGATCTCTCCTCCCTAGGGATACATCTTGAGAAAAGGCCGCTCAGTCAGTCCGAGATCCGACCTAACCTTATATTATGATATATAGCCAAGGAGTGGATTCAATCGATATTGGGAGAGAAAGAAAAAGGGACCACAAGTTGACCCTGTGCTAGGTTTCCCCAGAGAGTCCTACAGTTTATTTACCAGTGTCAAATCGATAGCACAGTGTAGCCTGCGAGATACTCCACTATTTCGATACCGTGTTGTATGATACCGGCGCTGGGGCATAATACCTTAATCCAATATATTATCCTGGCATAATACTGTGGCGGCTATACGCGTAGTGGCAATAATGTAGAGTGGATATTATGATATTATTGGATACGCCCATCCCTCTATTTAATAGTTTCTTCCTCCAATCCTTCCTTTCCTCCGATAAATTCTATAACTCAACTTCCGGGAATGGAGTTTGAAGAAAATACCGGTAATGAGAACAATATGCTCAACAGCTGCGGCGGGCCATACGAAACCTTCAATCGTCGAAAGCTAAGATCCCCCCATGCAGAAAAAAAGAAAAATACAGATATCAAAAGCTCTCTCTATCCGCACTTTTCGGCCCAAGAGAAATAAGGCAAGAAAGGAGCTAGTGGGATATAAACTATTATACAATTCTTGGCCGCACAGAACCCCACCCCCGAATGCCCCTACAGTCCTCCAGCGTGACACATTTCCACAGAGCAGATTTGGCCCTCCCGAACTCGCCCGCGAGCTCGTATGATTTAGCTAGAGCGAACCAGGCTTCTGGGACGTCCCAGCCTCGGGGGGAGTTCGTTAGTTGTTGGAGAAGCCCCATTGCACGGTTTCTCGCGATGAGGACGTCGTCTTCGCTTTCCTGGGTCGCTGCAAGAGCACACTCCTTTGGGGCAGGAGTGGAGGAGTTTGGGCCAACGGATATGTCCAAAAGAATATTAGTTAGTCCAACTGTGGCTAGCGGGTGATTGACGTCCACGAATAAGGCTGCGTCGAAAAACTCCGTGGAGAGTTCTTTTCTGCCTCCCTCTAATGCCAATAGTGCTTTCTAATTCATCACGGCTTGTCAGTGATTGGCTAGGCTAAAAGGAAACGAAAGACTTGCCTGCGTCAACATGTCGGCTTCGCCATCGCCCTTAGTGCCCACCAGACTAGCTGCCTCCTCGACGGCCATCGCAGCATCTTGCAAATGTCCCGCTCTCCTATACAGACCCCCGACAAATATCCAAACTGCCCTCAGCGCGCCCGCTGCCCTCTTTCTTTCGTCTTCTTCTTTTAACCTAGGCTCCGGCAATGAGACTGGTCTTTTGATATTTCTAGGCTCCGCGCCCTTACCCCTGATCTCATCTGTGATTCTGCCTCCAATAGCACGGATCGGGTGGGGTATTTTACCCCGTTCCAGGTTGTGTGGGATATCATCGGCCCTAGGGAGGCCAGATCTGTCCAAGACGGCGTCAGCTGCCCCATCAACGGGTGTCCTAACTCCGTCGGGCACGAAGGAGGTGCTGGAGCCTGTGAATTTCCCGACAGCGACTACACTGCTATCACTACTCCCCATCTCCTGTAATTGGTGCCTTTTAAGCTTCATTTTAAGCATGTGGAATAAGTGTGGGTGGTGGTTATGTCCGGGTCCTTTGACACTTCCGGCAGGACTCCTCTCAGCGCTTACAGAAGAGGCCTCAGTGCTGCTAGGCAATGGGGGGGTCGGGACTTCGGGAACTTGCTTCGCTGAATGCCCCGAAGAATGAAAGCTCCCAAAAGACTTCATTCGTCTGATAGTGCCGCCCGATACACTCTTGGGCCGATTTTGCTTTTTTAAAGTGCTTGCGGATTGTGTTGAACTATGCTCTGTGACCTGGATTTTAGGGGCGCTTGGATTAGGCGTTGTTCCGGCCAGCTGATGGAGAGATTGGTGACTCGACTTGGGCCGCTTCGTTAGTGAACTACTTCCATCACTCCCGGACTGCTGAAAACTAGACTTGTCTTGTGATAAATTAGTCGCAGAAGCCGCAAACTCTTTCTTATGACTTCTTCCACCCAGGAGACGTGATTTCCTACTTGCAGTGTTCGGTCGGGTAGAAGGGACACTCCCCACTTGCTCATTTTGAAATGTGCTTGTAGGTAGATCTGCCCCGACTACATTTGTTACTTCAAATAACCGACCGTAAAGATCAAGTAGGCTATCCGCCGTTTTAACGGCAGCTCCTGGTCCGTTAAGTGCTTCCTCAATAGCAATCTGTGTCATCTTGACCTCCAGCACCCCTTCCTTTTCCCCAACACCCATGTCCCTAAAAACCGCCATGTTGTCCCCAAGAATCTCAAAGGCGTTTTCGCAAGCCCGCTCGGCACCTTCGAAATCCTCTTCTATAGTCATAAGTATTGCCAGGAGATGCAATAAAGGGATAGCCCGGCGTCGATATGACCCTCGCCCATACCAAAGTTCGTCAGCTTCGTCATCTGCAGCAAGGCACTTCAAGCACGTGAGCCCCCGTTTTGAGCTTTCTACCGCGGACTCGATATCACCGTGTTCGACTTGAACTAAAGCCAGGCCATACCACCCATCAACGTCCAGGGTGTCATAACTTAATCCTTTCTTGAATGCCTCGATCGCAGCCAGTTGTGCATCGGGCCTTTCTTCTGCATCGACCGTTTGCCGTGCCCATGTTGCGTTCGCCATACCAATGCCTCTGTAGACATCTGACAATACCTCTGGATCCCGCGTGTACCATTCGTCGATCCATTTCTCCAGGGTCTCAGCCATCGTCATCGCTTTTTCACCATCTCCTATAAAGGCGCATACTACACGGATCCCTTCAACTACAGTTTGGAGAATAGTTTTGTCGTCATCAAAATCCTTCTCTACATGTCCCTTGGAAATTCTCTCTTTAGCCCTGTGGATAAACTCGAGATAGGTGTTCAATGCGAGCAGTGTATCAGGAAAATTCCCAGTAGCCGTGAGAGCGGTGAATAAATGTCTGAGTATTCGCGGAGAATGGAAGCTTTTGGTGGAAGCTTTGTAGAGGGTCTCGACCACCGCCGAAGCATCCTCTCCGGAACCTCCAGAAACCCGCCAATTCTCCATAACACGGTCAACCCATTCCCCGATAACCTCATGATACTCGGCGGCCCCTGGAAAAGTCAGCCCTCTAAGGAGGTGCTCTTCATATACCCTTCCAATGGTTTCAAGCTCATTTCTCAGCTGTTCTCGGGTGCCCGCTTTCACCCCCGTTCCACCAACAGGTTCATTATGGGGCACAACAGAAATTGTGCCACCTTTTTTTGGGGTTGACTGCCTCAAGTCTTGTGATCTTGGCTTATTAGGGTGGCCATCGGGCAAAAGGAGAAGTGAAAGAAATTCATGGTAGTTCCTATAAACTTCACGCCTCTCCATCTCCTTTTCTGGAGTCAAGCCCTTTTCCGCTGTAGGTGAAGGGCCCAGAGTTGTTTGTTGGGATTGCGTAATGCCAACAACAAAGTTATGAAATCCCCTGAATGTCGCCGCAACTGAAGCCTCATCTACAATTGTCTTTCCAATTGCTGCCCCAACTTGGCCCTCACTTTGTGGTTCGGTCTCGGGCCGTTCAGTGCCATCAGGAGTTGGTGTGTCAAGGTTCCTTGAAGAGTCCTGAGTGGCATGAGCCTCATGCCAGCAACGATAGGCAGCGAGGGCGTGGTGCGATAGAGCCTTTTCCGTCCACAAGAGATAAGACGGAGAATCCCGCCCTGAAGCCGGATAGGTAGACGGGAGGCGAGTGGCAGCACGGTAAAGTTGTAAGGCTAATGAAGAATCATCCGGTTTCAAATGGGCAAGGACAATTCCTAGAACCCCCTCCCCAAAGCATCATAAGCACTCGGCCCCAGGAAAGCCCTATTTAGTGTTTCAAAAAATCACAAATAACAAACCTCTAAGAACAAGTGCCTTTATTCTGGTAATCCCAAAATATTCTGCCTTTCCCACTCCTCCATTCCACTCCCCACCGAGTTCCTCCTCACTGGGCACAACTTCCAGTGCGGATTCCCATTCTCCTTTTAGCGAAAATATCCACGCAAGGACGGTCCTAGCCTGTAATACATCCTCTAGCGTTATAACACCAACTTGTCCACCACCGGCAGGGCTTGGTATATTGGGCAGCGAAGGTGGGCACAGCTCGAGCTCCTTTACAAGAGACTCCTGGAGACTGGTTAGAGTATCCCCGTCCGCAACACTAGCAGGTGCAGATCCAGAGGGAGGTCGTTGAAGGAGAAATAAATGAGCTTCGGTAGCGGCTGCCAGGGCAAGACCTGCGTCAAGAAGGGGGGAGAGGTCAATATCTCACAGGTAGACCGTTCAAAATGAACTAGTGAAGGAAGAAGAAATAGAGGAGGTACATTTTCTCCCAGAGGCATGCTTCTGCACCTTCCTACAGAGCTCAGGGACCGATTCCCATGCGCCACTGCATCGGGCAGCATCTAAGGACTGCAGGTAGTTATTCGCTTTTACCTGTGTCCCCGACGAGCTTCAGTTAGTGATGACGACGCTTCCTAACAGGAGCAAGGAGACCAAGGTTTGAACAGTAGGGGACATCCAGGGGAAAAATACCGTGCTCATAGAATTAATTGTTAAAACAGTGCTTAATGCGTGACGGGGGACAGTGGGGGGGGGACTTTTGGTCAAGTTAACAGCAGTCGGTAAGCTACATAGGAGGAGGATCAGAAGTAGGTTCGATGGCTTCGAAATACAAAAAGTTGCAATGCGCAGTATGGGGACTGAGTTGGACCCTAACCCTTCGGTAAAAGCTCACTTCTTCTGCCTTTCGGTAATCCAATCACGTGAAAAATAACAGACCATTAAATTTTAAAGGGATTGGTTTAACATAATATTATGATCATCTAGGCAATATTCGTACAGATATTCTGGCGTATCATATCGTACCGATGATACTTGTATACCGCTAGCAAAGCATGATAGAAATAATACAGCTGACACAAGTACCTGTATCGTGCTCAGACCTTCTCCATGTGAGATTTAGCGCACTACCTGAGCATCCGTCCAGCTTCCGGCTCTCATTGCAAAGGCCACAACATGGCGTGGAATGCAGCGCAACTGTGCCGGCTCTGCTTGCCTTTCCCAAAGTGTCCAAAACTGCCATGCATACTTGCTATATCAAACCTTGTCGAGCATTAAAACCAAGTACACTTTTAGCTTGTTGGCGTCTAAATTGTGGGAAGAGGGCAACTGGATTTCATGTTACAGTACGGGGACAAAGGGACTCGTGGGACACAGGGTTTTACACCAAAAATGGACGTTTTCATTTTCAAATGGACAATTCCCAACGCTGCTTATATGAAAACACATCGAATCTTTCCATCAGCTAGGGAATGACTATCATTTGCAACTTCTATAGGCAAAAGTGCAGGGAATCAAAGCTGTCTTCATTGTTCATGGTTGCATCAACCAGTGTGAAAGTGACCTAAATTTTTGTATGGGGTTCCATACAAAAAAGTACTAGTACATGGCAGCAAATACCAGATACTTGAACAACCTTTTCTCCGTCACTTTATAATATAAAAAAGGAATCGAACGAGTCCTTTTGTCCCCGTACTTTTAAGTACGCAGATTTTGTGGTTATCCTGCTACTACTAGTTGCGGTGGTTTTATTATTGCAGCGCCTGGACCAAGGGAACAGGAGCTTCCCGGGTTTGCACAATTCCTACAGTTGGGATGAGGAACAGTCACGATACTGGATTATATGTAGTTTCTCTCTCGCTGTGTTCCGACGGATGAAGGTTACTGCGCCAGGAGATGCACTGATGGTGCCGTATCGCCCTAACATGATACACCGTGCTGTGCCAATATTCAACGCTCCCGCACCCCAGTTTCCAGCAACGCTTCGCATAGGATAACATGGAGTCAATCGATCGGGGAATCTGAACTGCCTACAGGGCGTCTAAATATTGAAAGCCCATAATTATCTATTCAGCCCAAACATGTACAGAGGTATTATTTTCAGGTGATCCGGCATCCAATCCGCCACCCGATATTAACAGCGGTTTCATGAACAAGAAAAAGTAAAATTAGCAAAACACCAGTTCTCCTAAAGACCCTACTTGGGGGTGGAAAGACCTCTCCATCTCCTTGAGTAAGGCCAACCCCCCAATCGCCGTAACCATGAAAACAAAAAACAGAATTAGTGATGTAATACTTTGCAGCTCCCAAAAACCCCACCGCGACAACAGATAATGCTTGTAACCAGCCTACAGAGCCTTTCTAGCTTTAGCAGTTTCCTTGGCCAGCTTCTTCTCACGCCTCTTCTTAGCAGCCTCCGGACCAGCCTCGGTATCGAGAAGGTAATCCCACCACCTAAAAGAACTCGCATAATTGCCAATGAACTTTTCGTGGTGAACATCGTGGTGTTCGGCGCCGGCCCAGAAAGGAAGGAAGTGGTGCAAACTCCAGGGGAATTCGTAACCAGAATGGGCATCAATGGCTTGGAAGAGCCGAAGAACAATCCAGATATAGACCGTGAGAATATGAAGATCTTTGGTAACCATGCACCATACCATTGGCATACCGACAGTCCCAAAACCAAGAGCCATAACCTCGATAGGGGAAGCGTACTCGGCGGCAAGGCCGAAGGGTGCCGCGTATGTGTGATGAATCTTGTGGACGTGTTTATAAAGTGGGCCCCAGTGGAAAGCACGATGGGACCAATAGTGCCAGGTATCCTCCAGAACAAAGAAAATGGCGACTTGAAAGGCAATCTTTGTCCATGGTGGGAAAGGAACATCCGTATCCATACCGAAGTACTTGCACATGGGGTGGAAAAGCCTATGAAAACCGGTCAGAAGGGGTCAAAATAAAAGGGTGACGCGATCGAGGGCCACAAACCAGATCTGAGGAAGCTCGACAGTGAAGTGAGATAGAAGAACCAGCTTTGCGCATCTCCATTGCTCTGCTGCGGTTGGAATCTTGGTCTATTGCGGATCAGTCCTGGACCCGAGCCGAGATGGGGAAATAAGGGGGGCGCACGTTTTGAATTTTGTATCTTCGGAACCAAGGAATCCTATCAATAATCATCCATGGGAGTGAGCGGCCAAAGTAAACAACTTCGTGCATGACGAACGACATGATGCCAGTAGCGAGGGTATCATTTTCCATGTATTGGTACCCTGGGAGCGGTATAAATAAATGCATCCAACAAAAGGGCAGAAGAACTAACACGCCGCCCAAAGACGTTCCAAGATATTTAAATGAAGGTTCACTTCTGAAATCTTGTGATAAGCAGCCCAATAGGCACCTGAATCCGGGAGTATTGTGGTGAAGTTCGACCTGTAGCAAGCGGAATTAGAAAGGGTAATAATGGGAGGGAGGAATTGCCTACTCACATGGCCGTGACCAGCAAAAGAGAGGCTTTGGCCAGCAGGTTGTGAAGAATTGAAGGATGGATAAGGAGTAGGGAGAACGAAGGATGGAGGTTAGAGAAGAAAGAAAAGCCCTTGATGTGAAGGCACCTCCTTTTTCGTGGCGAGACCTTTTTTCTTGTGACCCCTGTGTTTCTCAGGGCTCCGGGTTGGGCAAATATTGGGGTCGTTGCACGGGAGTTACAAGTACAAGTAGGTAGTCTAACTTATACAATGGCGGAACACCCAAAATACACGACCAGCCCAACAGAGTCCCGCTGATTAGCCTGCAGGCTAGGATTACTAAGGTTGGAAACAGTTACTGCCTACTGTATTTGGATGGGGCGCGCAGGGATCAGGATGGGTCGACAACCGGCAATGCAATTTCCCGGGCAAGCATGTTTTTCTTCACTTTCGGCGCGCAATGCTGTATACTTGTAACTCATCGACAATGTGTGGCCAGCATGGTCCAAGGAAAAACAGCATACAAATAACTTACAATAGAAGCTCCAGTAAAACTTGACAACTTGATTCACCGATGATCCCCTGAGCAGTTGGGTTTCCATAGTCTAGTCTACCGGTTCTCGTTGCGCACCTGTGATAACTTCAGTGTCATGCTCGTATATCCCTTCAGCGGCAAATAATTTGTGCCAACTCGCTACGACAAACGGGGCGCCAAATCCCGGCTGAGAAGCACGAGTACTCGAGTACCACAGCGTGCGAGCACAGTGGACCATCCTTCCTTCTTCCAAACAATGCTCCCACCTGACATCATATCGCATCCTACTTGTACGATCTCCAGCCACGATACCGGTACCGCAAGATCGCCTTATGATATGGGTAACTTATCTGGTTTGTCCCGTGCTCATTCTCGAAGGGCTCATCAATGAAATATTGTTCCTGGGATCCACTACTCGAGTACCCGTACTGCTATTGCTCCTGATAAATTGAGGATATCGCCCCGATATCACTTGTTGAGTCACTGTATCATACTATTACCGGCAAACTGGATTCCGGTGGTTGCGTGTTTGCACCTGTGCCGTAAGTTACGGCAAACTAACGAGCTGGCACCGGGCCAGTGAACACGATAGACTACGGTATTATACATAGACTACCCTTACGACGCATACGAGTACCCTTCCCTCAGCAGTGGCACCTCAGAGGCTGAGACAAAGGCCGTCGGAACAACCTTGCCATTCCAGATGGGGCAGCATCTCAACGTTTTTCTTTCTGCCGTACTGTGGACGGCTTTACTGCTATTGCAGAACTTGGGCATCTCGTGGGTTGCTGCTACGAGTACAAGTACCGGTATGATACACGTACTTGTACGTGTACAGCTAGGGGTTCCGGAGGCTTGAACTTGCCTCCCTCATGGAGATGAAGGAATGAATTTGGCATACCGGTGCTCGAGTACCGGTAGAGAGATTGCTCAAACAAGCAGGAAGCTTTGACGCTCTAATCCCTGGCTGTCCGATTACCTACGTACGTACCCTAAGTGCTCGTAAACGCCCTCATCGCTTAAACCAGGGAAATATTGGGTGAAGTATGATAGGATAACAGGGATACCGTAAGTGCCCTGCATTCGAGTGCTTGTGAGGGTGCCGACAAGGGAGGGTAGCCGGTGGCTGATCATATTTTCTTTGAAGCGTCCAGGGAGGGTAACGCTGGTCAACATCTGATAAGATGGGGCATAGCGAACAGCTCTCTGGCAAAGGGTAGAACCCTAGCAGTCCAACACCACACAATTGCCCACAAATTCCGAATTTGTCGAGCTCGGCTGCAGAAAAATTAACCACCACTACCGGCACCATCACAAAACGACCACCGATCAGACCAACAACGTATCACGATAAAATGGTACGTTGGGAGATCGACTTCCTGTTTGATTTGTTTCAAGTTTTCGAATTACTGTTCTCATAGTGTCTGAGCTCCGGAGAGAAATTGGCGGAATTTTGGAGATTTAAATTTAGGTCACGGAAAATTGGTTGCTAATTGATCAATTGAATAGACGACCCGACCTACCGTCACTATCCACGGAGCCGATGGCACTCCCTGCGGAAACACGGCTACCCTTCCGAGCGTTTTCAAGGCTCCTATTCGTCCTGATATCGTCCAGCAAGTTCACACTGGCATGGCCAAGAACAAGAGGCAGCCATATGCCGTGAGCGAGAAGGCCGGCCATCAAACCTCTGCTGAATCTTGGGGAACTGGTTAGTTGTCCTCATGGAATTTGGAGAAATGTGTGGGGTCAGATTGATAGTGAGATAGGCTTTTGTCTTGCCGAGAAAGCTCTCTTCTTGAAACTGGCCTATCCACTGCCTGGTCCAAATGAAACATGGGTTAATAATTTGGGGTTATAGGTCGCGCCGTTGCCCGTATTCCCCGTGTCTCTGGTGGTGGTACCCACCGTGCTGGTCAGGCAGCTTTCGGTAATCAGTGCCGTTCCGGCCGCATGTTCGCTCCTACGAAGGTCTGGCGCAAATGGCACGTCAAGATCAACCTTGGACAGAAGCGTTTCGCTACCGCCTCCGCCTTGGCTGCTTCTGCCGCCGCTCCTCTCGTCCAGGCTCGCGGTCACCGTATCTCTACCGTACCCGAGCTTCCTCTGGTTATCGCCGACTCCGCATTCGCTGACATGAGCAAGACCCGTGCTGCCGTTGAGCTCCTCAAGTCTGTTGGTGCTTACCAGGATGTCACCAAGGCCTCCAAGTCACGCAAAATTCGTGCTGGTAAGGGTAAGCTGAGGGGGCGTCGTCACCGCCAGCGCCGTGGACCTCTCGTCATCATCAACCCTACCGACGAGAATGCCCAATCCGTTGTCAAGTCGTTCCGCAATATCCCTGGTGTCGAGACCGCCTCAGTAACCTCTCTCAACCTCCTCCAGCTTGCTCCTGGTGGGCATCTCGGACGTTTCGTCGTCTGGACCGAGTCAGCCTTCAACGCTCTTAACACCGTCTATGGGACTACCGTGACGCCCTCAGAGTTGAAGAAGGACTACCTTCTCCCCACGAACATTGTCTCCAATGCCGACATCGGCCGTCTCATCAACTCTGCCGAGGTACAGGCCGTCGTTAGACCCGCGAGAGGAGGACCAAGACAGAAGAAGGGAGGAAAGGCCGGCGTTCTCAAGAAGAACCCCCTCAAGAACAGGCAGGTACTTCTCAGACTCAACCCATACGCCAAGGTCTTTTCGGAGCAGAAGTTGGGCTGTGTCAAGCAGGAGGGGTCCAAGGAGCGACCAGGAAAGACTGAGACTTTCAAGACCATCATTAATACTAACTAAATTGTTGGATTTCCGTCATGGTTCTTTCCTTCTGTCTCTCTCTTTACTTCTTTTCTACCACTGTTTCCCCCTTTGTTCCAAATTAAATAAATGCTCTTCTTCGGTGCTCGGTGTTTTCTTCTTCTTTCTTTCTTATCTGATCAAAGATAACTTGGCGTGGAGCGTTGGGGAAGCCGTTCGGATGTGTACCGTATCCCATGTCCCAGCCTCACCAGAATTGAAGCGTGACCACTCTCACACTCCCTGTCATAGACCGGTTGGACACCCAATACCCAGTGCCTATTAACACCTCACGACTCATCCTGGTGGGAAAAATGAACGCACACCCTATAAACATATCCCCCTAGTCATACTGTAGATTGCCTATATATACGATATACAATCAAACACGTAATACAAGTATCGCCAGTAATACATCCCACGATAATGTAAGGTACCCCAGCAAACCCCCCCTCCCCATCCGCCCTAGCAGGAAAGCACAGCACGGAACCCGATCCCGTCAATTACGCGTAATTCAGCGACGCCAGTTCCGGGGATCGGATCGGATATAAACACCACTGGAGGTTATTTTCACAAAATTTGCGGAGAAGGATTACTATAGGTTCGGTCGGTCGGTCTCTGGAAAGGTCCTGATAGCCCTGCATTTACACCCATCGCGTACGGGTATGTATCGTACAGTATGATAGATTCGGACCTCGGAGCGCCGGTGCACCATGCACCAGCAACATACCGTACTATAGAGTGGGAATGCGCCGTCGTCCAAGTTAAGTTGGGGATTGACAAGTTGTTCGTTGAACCGGGGCGGGAAAAAGCGAAATCGGTTGGTTGGAATCTGAAAATCCGAAAATCCAAATCCAAACACCAAGACTCTTGGAGATATTTGCCGAATGTGTCGAGGATGGGGAGGAGGAGAAAAAAAGAAAGGGTTGGTATGGTTGCGGTGGAATAGCTGGGTTTTACATATGATGGCATAACTGTTTTTTCTCTGGGCTCTTGTCCTATGGGGGTTACTACTGTACTGTACTAGCAATTTTGGCCAAGATCAATGTCAACAACACCCATGCCCACTTGTTATCGGGTCTTTCCTTTTCCTTGCTGGGTAACGAATTAGATTGGACTCCCTAGCTTGACTTTTCCCCTGCTGGCGCACTATACGGTATCATACTCGAGTATAATACGGTATTCGTATGAAATATAATTCCAGCTTCCCGGCCTTGGACAGGCTTACAGCGAATGATAATTCGTGATGAAGCTGGCGTATGACTATCCTACGGGTCAGTGATCATTCCTGCGTATATTATGTCATACCCTTCGTAGAGCGCGGTATCAGCCAAGTCTCAGCAGAACATCGTAGTCTGCCGGTCGCATAGAGTTCATGTCCAAAGACAAAGACGTATCATTAGTGATTGGTTCATCTGTAATTTCTCATTGAGTGTATCCGAGTAGCGATCTGATTTAAGGTGCCCTGAGCTGACGAGGCGATATGACGGCTCATTTCCGCAGAGCTCTTTTGGCCGGACTATGCGGGTTTGGGCTTGTTTTCGTTCTAGCTAATGAGAGGGCCTGTTCTCGTGGGGGGGTAAAGGGATGAGGAAAGGAAGAATGTGAAGAGGGGAAATTGAAAGAAAGAGAAACAACGTCGTCAAGCAGGCGGATCATTTCCCACTGTACACAAGTCGAAAAGAAGAGAAAGCGAAAGAGAGAAAAGGGGGAGAATACAGGGATTTTTTTATCACATCGAGAAAGAAAAATGATTATTAGTATCTCTTCTATCAGAAGTTAGGTCATTATCCTTCGCTACCGTACCCGCACCTCAGTGTCCCCCCCAATTGGTGATGATACCGATCGTGCGCTAAAATCAGAAAAGCTGGTAATGTCTTAGAACTGCGTCAGAATATATGTGCAAGACTTCCTCACCTTAACAAGCAAACTCCGGGCCACCTTTTTTGATGCCAGAGTGGAAAAAATTCATGGAAACATTTTGCCAGATCTTGTAACTACAAGTACACTCCCGGGAGACCGCGCAGCTAATAGATCCTCATCCCAGAGCTCCTCATAAAGTCGCCCCAGCGGGAAAAACCTAACGGCAATCTCTCACATGGACGGAGGCAGAGTGTTGTAGGCCATCCCGTCTGATCCATTCGAGTTCCATACCTCCTCACATCACCTAGATAATGAGCAATCATGCCCCCCCCTACCTCCGCGAGCCCGGTATCGGGCCTATTTCTTCCTATGTATTCGAAGAGAAGTGTAACAGGGGAGGATGAGGTGACGTTGAAGCGGTTCCAGCGGGTAGTTGGGCTTGGCGGCCATGGGCCAGAAGCCCAGATATAAACGGTGTAGTGAATTTCCGTGTAATAGTTGTACTGTTGGCCTTGATGAACTGGGATAGCTCTAAGCTGGGGGTCTATCATGGGCGGGCTTGGGTTTTGTGAAATATTGAGAAGCAATTGCTCCGGAGTATTCATCTCAGGGTGGTCACTCGCATAATGTGCTCGAACTGGTTGTGGTGAAGCCAATGCTCCGACGGTGGGGCGCGGATTTTCTGCATAGCCTTTGTTGCTTCTATCCGATACATCAACATTGGATTCTTCTCCATGGGGGGTGTTGTGGTCCGTAGCCTTTTGGATGGGCGGGGGGGGTGGAGGGGCTATGGTAGATGTATTATCTTCGTTGGAGGGTCTTCCCAACTGGCTTGTGATATCGTTCTCAGGGCCTTTTCTCCTCTCAGGCCTCATGGTTGTGTCTGATAGGTTGGCTTCATCCTCAACAAACGGACCAGTGGATTGGTTGTAAGAATTCATCGCTTGGGGGGGTGGATCTATGGCTGCTGTAAGGTGCTTGAGTCCCGGCTCATGAGGCCCCTTCATTGTGAAAAGGAACTTCCCAAGCCCTTCAGCATCGTTTCTACCTTTCAGAGCTCTGATCGCTCCCTCTCCCTCTTTCTCACCATTTCCTGATCCGGTATCTTCTCCTTCTGGGAGTTCACCTCCTTCCCCATTCACCCTCTTTGCCCGCAAAATTTGCTTTTGACGGCGTCGGATGGGCGAAGAATTTTGCGATGAGTTGTTGCTATTTGCGCCCAATGTGAGAGAGTGGTTCTCGAGGGGATTCTGGCGGGTTTTATGTCTTATCGGATAGCGAGGATTTTGGGCTATCGGGATGGTCTCTTGCGCAGAACTTCCGCTCGGATCGGCCTTCTCTCTGGTTCTAGCAGTGGCAGATCTGGTTCTAAGTTTGATGGGGGGCCTTTCTGTCTGAGTTCTTCCCTGCCCAAAATTTGCTGTTGGAGACTTTTCCGAGGTAGCTTTGCTCAAAGGGCCAGTGGGTTGGGTTTCTAAAGTCTGGGAATCGGGAGTATCGATAGTCGGCATTTTTGGCTGGGGGGTTTTGGTTGGCAGTAGAAATGAGGATGAAGGGAGGTCTTCCTTAGTCGAACCCCTCGATGATATGTTCTTGGGTGGAGTTGGCACGGTGGCCCTGGAACCTCCTCCCGGTGCGAGTTCCTGGTTCGTAAAGGCAGAAAGTTTTTGACCGCTGCTTGGGGTCCCGGAGATTTTGTCGTCTCCCATGGTAATGATAATTGGTGGGGGTTTTTTTTTCGAGGAAGAGGGTCTTGCCTGAGGCTGGGGCGTGTTGATGTACCAAGTGGTAGAGTAGTCTCAGAGGGGGGAGGATGGGTGAGCGTAGGAGCGAAGATGATGAATCGGAAGAGAGACGAAGGCGAATCGCTCTGGGGGATAGCTGAGGGGGAGGTGAGGAGGTTTCCAAATGAACCCCGGTTTTCGAGGGCGAGGCGTAATCAGAGTCTATTGCTGACGACGATAGGTGCGTACGCAGGAGAAAGTGAGGAAAAGTGAAGGGATGGATCTGGGACGGGTATACTGGTCACTGCGAGGATATTTGGGATTATCATTTGCTGTTGGATTACTCGAATTAGGCAAACATGTTCATATCTTGTCACTCGAAAACTTGCCAAGCATTTTGGTTTAGGCTACTGTATTTGAGCCTGCCGGTATGATACCTTGTATCATAGCTGGTAGACTATCATAATAGCAGAGCCATGCTTGTACCACACCCGTTATACCAGAGCTCTTTTTTGTTGCGCTGGAGCACAGCACTGTAATTCGCAGGCGACTAACTTTTGTGCAAAGAAAAAGAAAGAAAATAGATCTACAAACTATTCTCTGCTGCACTGTACAGTACCTGAGTCTAAAATCGACATCTTTGTGAAAGTATCCTGCAGTTAGGTTAAAACGGATATTGGCAGATCGATCGCCCTAAATGTCGAACCCGTCCGAACCCACAACATTTTTATCATACGTCCAAGAAGTCGCACTTTGGATCGCCAAGCCCAACGGCTTCCGGTTATTTTTATTTAATATTATTATTCGGAGAAGGCGAAACGATGTTTGTAAAGCTCCTTGCGGTGATGTGGTCGGACAGGATCATCACAGTTTGATAGCGAGAGGGGCAAAAGACTGGTAATTGGCTGGGGAATATGTGAGAACGACGACCCCCTTCGATGGTGTCCAGTGCTTTCTTCGAGAACTAACTTTTCTTTATTCTTGTTGGGCTACCCCGGAGAAAGTTTAGGAGGAGGAAGAGAATGGCTGCGCAGCAGTTGTGGCAAGACCCTCTTGAGGTAAATAAGTATTAAGGGCCTGTTCGGTATGCCAAAGATAATAATATTATTAGAATTATCATAGTATGATATTTATTTTTGTTTGACCTAGTATTTGGCACGGCGCAAAGATGATATCATACTATTATTCTCTAAAAAAAAAAAAATACTGCAGAATATTTTTACAATAGTATTTTTTTTCTTAAGAGTTTTTTTTTGTTAACATAATATTATCATAATAATTATATCATACGGGATTTGTGTGGACACTTTCAAATACTCGTGCCACATTTGTGGCTGGTCGCCACAACCCCTGGCTGCTCGATCTCTCGCAACCTGAAGCAGCTGGCTCACTCGCCCGACAGCTCAACACGACTTTACGGCTCAAAACAATTTTGTGACTCCGTGCAACTTTATCGTTTTACACAGCTTTGTATATGAATATAATAATACCACAGTAGAATGTATCATTCAAAGTACGACTCTAACCGTGGGAGGTATCCTTGAGGCATGGTTTAGTGCTCTGTTACAAAAGAACAAGTGTGGTAGTAGTTGTAACAGGTAAACGTTGAATTCAGTAAAAGACCTTTTAAAATACAACCTCATAAAACTTGAACCCCTCGAGAGTTGGCAAAGTCCACTTTCCACCAACTCCACTCTTTGCTTTCCAAATCTCAATCTCTAACCAAACAGCCTCAGGGTTAACCCCCTCAAGCGAATTCCTCAGATCCGTCCTCCGAGATAGCCCCTCCCCCCCAAGGATCCTACAGATATCATTAACAATCTCATCACTAACCCTACAAAACTCCACAACGGCAGCCATCATCCCACAAAGTGCATCCCAGACTTTATACCCAGGGCTATAAGCCCCCATATTACCGGTCTTACTCGCCTTCTCCCTCTCCCACCTCCTCAAGCAATTGACAAAAACTCTCTTGATCCCCGGCCACGCGTCCACAATCCTGCTGGAGATGAACTCCCCGCACTCCTGTGCGAGCGTGGTTACTGCCTCCGCCGCAGAGATTGTAATGTGCGGTTCGTCCTCGAAGAGGCGGTTCAGCACGGCGGGCCAGATGTCGTTCACCAGCGGGAGGAATTCGTCCTCGTTCTTGGAGAGGAGTGGGGACGCAGTGGATATTAGACGGAGGAGCTTTAGGCGGAGGGGGTAGGAGGGGTGTGTCAGATAGTGTTGGCTCAGGCGGGTGATCCTCTGGACCAGATCATAGGTTTTTGTGGTCTTTACTACTTGAGTTTCTGGCGGGGGTGGTGGGTGTTGGTCCTCGTTTTCCTCGTCCCTCTCTTCCATAATGGCGGGGTCCTCGTTTTTGCCATTTTCTTTTCCTTTGCCCCAAGGCTTTTCCGGGAATTTACCGGCGGCTATGTCTGCTTCCTCTTGCTCCGCTTCCTTTTTCTTTTCTTGCTCTTTGCGGAGATTGGATTTGATCCCTTGTATTAGCTCTTCGCCCGTTAGTAGCTTTCTTCGCTTTCCCCGCGGCAGGGGGGAGGAGGAATCGCCGGTGTTTGTTGTGATGGCGAGTAATCCACCGCCTTTCCCACTCTCTTCTACGACTTGAGCGAGGACGCCCAGGAGCGCCTCACAGAGCGCTTCGTATCCGTGGAAGGCGTCCAGCGCAGCAAAGATGCTGACGACCATGTCGTCAAGGTAGGGTATCAGGCTCGGCCCTGCAAGTCTTAGCATCATTCCAAGAACCACAGGTGCTTGGGGGGATAGGTCGAATGTGTTTAGCTTTAGTGCTACGGCATTGACCATGTAATCAACGTTTTCTAGAATGAGTTCCTTGGCAGATGGGTATCCGCACGAGCGAGAGACGCTATTTAGCGTGACTATTGCGTGGGATTGGACCGCCCTTGAAAGGGAACCCAGGAGGTGTACTATGGGGTATAAAGCATCTACTAGATCTTCCCTGAAGGATTCTTTCTGTGCTTGTGCTGTGAGGGAGATTGCCTCGAGGGCGAGGCACTGGAGTGTTGGCGACATGGGATCTGCTTCTTCGTCTACACCCAGATCTATAGCGTCGTTGAGGACGGATAATGACACTGCGAATAATTCCTCCGTGACATGCTGCTGCAGTGGACCCGATGGAGAAAAGTCTAGATCGAGGAATATGTCCATTTCGTCGGAATTTGCCAGTGATCCTCGGAGTAACTGCACAGCGACCCATAGAGAAGTAGATCTATCCTTAGTAGGAGCATTTATCCTCGAACTCTCGCGGATGTGCCGTTGTGCAAGGGGCAGTGCGTTCTCGGAGGAGCATCCTAACAAACCCAAAAGCTTCTTCACGCTGTCGACCGTATCCCGTTGACTTCTGTGCCCGAGTACAACGTCCGGGTACTGCGCTGAACTGGCAAGTGTTCCGATAGCCTTGTTCTGTGAAACCAGCGCGTCAAATGGCAATGGCTCCTCTACCGTTTGGATAGCCTCCCGCTTCCCAGTGGCTCCGGCGTGAGCCGTGAAAAGGCTATCCCGGATATTGGTTGCCAGCGTCTCCTGTAGTATCTCGCTGTCCATACCCAACTCTGTCAGAATTTTGAAGCCGGTAGAAATTCGATTGATAAGTCTGGTCTTCATAATCTCTTCGCTCCCAGCCATGACTCTTGGTAAAGAAATTGCCCAGCCATGAGCGCAGCTTTGTATCGCCTCCTTGACATTCTCGCTCATCGCCGCGACACGCAGAGTGTTCCCAGAAATACTCCGGAGACTGTCATCTTCGTCCCCAGCGAGGACAATCATCGTTTCGATGACCGCCGTGAGGGCTTCGGCGAGAGACTTTGCGCAGTTCTCGAGCAAGTCCCGGCACAACTCGAATACAGCTTTGCGAACATGACTGTGGGGGTGGCCGCGGAGGCGGAGGATGTTGTCGAGCGCAGATTTAGTTTGGGTTGCGGTGGCGGTTAGCCAGGAGGTTGTTCGGTGGACTTTCAAGTCCTCGCTCTTCCCCTTCCCCTTCCCCTCGTTTTCTTCCTCGGTGGGGAGGTTCGATGTGTCTGCATCTCCGAGGACCTTACAGATTACGCGGTTTAGCACCTTGACGCAGCGGACGAGGACCCCGTATGGGCGTTTTGTGGTAGGTCCTAGGCCAATGACCTTCGCCAGTCCACTGACAACACCAGGATAAAAGCTGGCGAGGGTGTCCGAGTCCATGATGCAAGAGAACAACAGCGCCTCCAAAACCTCCAAGGAAATCAGCTGTAGCTGCGGAGAAGCCGTGGAAATGGCAGCCTCAAGAACAGCAGTGACACTATGACCCAGCGCCGGCAAAGACTCCACATCTCCCAAAACCCCCTTCTCAGCCCTCCTCACGCATTCGAACAGCGCCAGCAAACATTTCATACCCTCAATCTTTGTCTCCTCACTTCTATTCGCAGTGACCGGAGCTCCGGGCGTGCCTGCTATCACAAAGGTGATCATGATGAGCATCTGCTTCGCTTGTTCCGCCGGCATGTTTAGTCGCCAGCAGGTGTTCAGTAGGATACGCACACATCCCAGAGCCTTCTCTAACGCACCGTCGTTCACGGTTTGGTGTTGCCGGAATATGTGCGAGAGCGGGTAGAAGACGTAGTCACCCAGCGCACGGTTGAAGACTTCGCCATGGTGTCCGGAGGTACTGGTCAGTGTTCGAAGGAGCTGGGTTAGAGATGTGGATAGTCCTCTGGGATCGGGAGTCGGTTTTAGGATCGTTTCGCTAACTTCTATGCAGTATGGTTTCAGCTAGGTGTTTTTGTTAGTTGGTTTGGCAAATGCTGTGTGGGAGCGAATGGATACCTCTTTGAAGACTTGTCGTTGAGTTTCTTCCGACATGGTGGTGGTGAGGCTCAAGGTCGGGTGGGTAGCTTAGTTGGACTTAAGTTGGTGTAGGGTAACACAGGGAAACTTTGGTTGCTGTTTGCATTGGGTCATGGGAGGTCACCCGGAAGAGGCGGTGACGCAGGATGGTCCGTGTTTTAGGATTGCCCTTCTGGGCGCCTTTTCAGCATCACATAAGTCTGTTGATTGACCTTTGGTACAGTACAGTGCGCCAGGGCACGTTCTCTGCATAATATATAATAGCGGTGAGGTTATTATACGACATGAAAGCCCAAAACACACAAACAAAAACTTCATCGATTTTTCCTGGTGTTCGGAAAACTTTAGGATTTGTGGCTCTAGGGACAGAACTCCCTATGATGCCAAACTGTGATTTTATCTGGAGGCATGATAACCCTGGGGCTGTTTGGCGAGCAGCAGCTGCGATTTTGAACAGCACGGCACCACACTTCTCCTCCTTGGTTTCGGTTGCCGGTAGAGCTTCCGGAGCCTGAAGGAAGGATATTGTTCCGCTCGCGATAAACCAACAAAAACTTTTTGTGGGAAAAAGGAGGTCCGGGAAAACCTCCAAACCGTAAAGATTTAAATTCTAAAAAGACTGCAATGTAGCCGGGAGGTCTATCTACAGTACCTATTTCTTAGAAAATTATTATTGTAGTTATTAAGAGGGCTATACACTTTTGAAAATCTGTCACTCTCAGCCTAAGGCAATGTGAGACCCAGAACCCAAATCCAAAAAAGTCCAAGCCGGACTGACCGCCTATGAGCCAGCCTGAGTCGTGATTGTTGTTCTAGAGAGCCTGTACAGTACTGAGGAAATATATAATTGCTATCATATAAATCATCAGGTTGGGGAAGGAGAAAAAAAAGCCTGCCGATCGCGAACCAACCCCCTCAGGGTACTGGTCCAGAGTCGAAATCTGCCACCTCTCTCTCCCAGTTCCAGTAGGGCCAGGAATCCCAAAGTATCCTGCCCTACCTGATGGAGAATTCAACAACAACCCCGCCTCGAGCTGGAATTGAACTCCTGGGCACCTGCTAAATGCACAGGAGGTCAATTAGTTCTCGACATATTAACCACTGCGCCAGCTGGGTATTTCATAATACTACCGTAGAAACAAATACTTATCCTGCCCGTGCACTGTGCTCTACCAACTGCAGCGAGCGTCATTGGTATATGACAGCAAGTTTTTGGAGCTTGTTCTTAATTCCATTTCGCATCCTTAAGGTTCTCTGTTCTGTTAAGCTTCTAATATATATGGAAGAACTTTTGTCTACTAGAGTAGTACTAACTTGAACTGTCAACTACTGAGTTCTTCAATCTTAATATCATACCATAGAATACCGGATAACTTAATATACCACTTTAGATCCTTTGATATCAATTAATTAAATGAATTATAATGGCATGTTCATTCTCCATAATAATTTTTTTTCTTCAAGAGGTAACTAGACAAATAGTTGTCCGAAGAGGAAAACAAAAACATTTAGGAGCTAAACCAAGTTTTACAGTATCACAATATATCTATTTTTTGTACTTCAGAAACCTGTGATATCATACAGGGGAAATGCTGAACCCTCAAAACACACCGCTAACTGTTAAAGCAGAGAATTGGTACGAGCATGACACTTTGTTTTTTCCCCTACGAGTATGATATCAGTACCGTACCTCCCGGAGTCCATTTATCATTTCCCTTCCTGGCCACACACATGGCACCAACTCGTAACACCACAAGCTCTACCCGGTACAATATCCCACCTCTTGTCGAAATGCGTCGTTCCAGCTCGCCGAGTCGAATGTCGAAGAAGGTGAATATCGGTGACTTAAAGTACGTATTTCAAAGAATTATATAGACAAAGATTCCAAACCGGCCCGAAACGAACAACATACCCGTCTTATTCCGGGAACGAGATACGTCATGCGAAGGAAAACTAATTAATGGGAGTATGAATCGTATTTCAGTTGTCCCTTCCAAGCTCGCACGCATCGAGTAAATTTCGATGCAAAAAAAAGAACATCGAAAAAGCAACTAGATATGATAGTCTTTCGGCGTGCCCACGAAGGAACGAAAACTGGCTGGTGACGGGCAGGTATCATGATATTTGGTCTGGAAGGGAGTGAATGGGATCTTCAAAGTAGGGTAACGAAAAATCACTTGTTGTAATAACTTACCCCTGTTCGTCGCTCGCCCGGTTTTCGCGGTGGGGTATGTATGGTAAGGTGAAGACTGAGAGTACTGAATACATCCGCACTATGTCTCACACCACGCTGCTTCCCATGACCCCCCTTCCCCGTAAGACCCCTTGAATACCTGCACTATCCATGAAGAGAAAAACCGAAACTCATTCCACTGTGCCCGGACATGGATACTACGGGAATGGAACTCAAGTCGGTGTTCTCAGCCCCGCCACCGAAAACCCCCTGTTCTCTCAGGGTTTGGATGCAACACCACAGACTGAGACCCAAGATATTGGTGCCTGGGGGGGCAAGTATCATACCAGATCACTTTCCGTTTATCACACACAACCCCCGTTCGGTGAATTGTATATCCGGCTTTCAAGCCTACAGTCACGAGTGCGGGAACTATAAGGCTATTGCCTAGGATAATAACACGAGTGATTTCTTGTGATAGGGATTACTGGTCCGTGTTTAGTGTCTGGGCTGTTGATATCATGGGCATCTTTTCACTAATTGCGTGATGCGGTGTGGTGAGAGTGGGAGTCAAAAAGGTCAGTCTATATGATAATCGGGGAGAGATTATGTCCCAGTTATCCCCCTCGCTCCCTCCGAACCTCAAACACCGAGCCAACCCTGGGCCCGTTAGGTAGCAAAATCCCTGGACAACTTCTGGTAGAAGCCCGAGCTTCACCGAAACCATTACAGTATTGAGCAGATCTTGTCTTTTTTGCCACTGGTAGCAACGGGAAACTACAGCACGAGTATTCACGCCTGACTTCCGAGAAAATGCAGTGAGCTTACAAAACGCTCAACGGCGAGGGCAGTTTGGTGGTGAATGGCCACTCTCACGAACTAATTCGGTCACTCTCGTGTGATACCAGCGAGTCTGTGTAACGTTCAAAATTATATTTCGCAGTTGCTTGTTTTCAAATAAAAAGGTTGGCATAATGATTCTTCATTTCTTGTTTTACAGAACGTTGACATGATGCCCCCCCGAACCAGCGACAGGAAGTACAGGATGGTTCGTTTGGTAGAGTTACCGTCCGTAGAGAGCTCAAAAAAGGTCTCAAGTGATGTTGAGCAATTGTTTGGCCTATCATCCAAGTAAATATTTCCAGACGAAGAAATGAGTTCCAAACATTTCCTGTCCCCTTTCCCTTCACCCCCAACTGCTCCGACGACCACGCTGCACATCCACCTGCGCAACCTCTAGGCCTTGGCCAGGAAAAGATATACCCTGCTTTGCTTTGGGAGCATTTGCATCAGTAAACCACCCTGGTGATCGGGCATGATCCGGCGGAGCTTCAATCGAACGGGTTAGGGTTATGATAGCTGCTAATTTGTATCGAATCCCTTCTCCGCGGACCCCATGGACCAGACCAACCGACTCGATAGAACCGCGAGGGGGCTTCTAAAGTACGATATCCTGTATTAAAAGCAGTATCTTCTGGAGGCGATATATCACAATAGCTTATAGTACGGAAATAAACCTGGTAAATGAACCTTCCGACCCACAGCGGGTATTTACTGAACTATCCGCATAGACCTTAAGCAGTTAAAAATATCTATTGCTGGAATTCCACCAACACGGGCATCCCACTATTATCCCCTGTTCCTGTTTCAGCGGGCATCGTGTTGAAAGAACAATATCGGGTCCGGGGGGGAAGATGTAAAGGTAGGAGGATGTCCGCAGAGGTTCGCAAAAAGCAAAGAACAAAAGGAGAGAACTAGAGAGAAGAGAACAATAGAAATCGATCAACGTCGGTTTTGTGAAGATAGGAGGGTCCTCTGGATTACTCCCGCCTGCCCACTCGCACGGTATCGTCGCTCGTGGCTCGTCTTCGTTCCGTGTGTGACGGGGCGCAACATGTATCGTGCATTCCCTGAGTAGAAACAAGAGGGATGAGGGGTCCCTTATATACATTTCCAAGATGCTCGTCCCCGCAGAAAAGAAAAGAAAAAGAAAAAATTCCAACGGAACAGTCCCCTCCCCAAACCTGACAGAATCTAACTATACCAGCTAAAACCCAGAACACGCAATGTAGGGTTTTTGAAGAACACCATGCCCCATTTCTATCCCAGAAGTATGATATCAGTTTTGGGTTCCTTTTGGTTCTCGTTCTGGGCCCTGTACGGTTCAGCACTTTTGAGGTATAAAAGTGCCTTTTATCCAATATCTTTCTCGCCAGGGAGTTTTCTTTTCCTTTTTCTTTTTCTTTTTGGTGGGTGTTCGGAGCGCCCACGATTATCGTATGATACCAGTAATATTATAATATCTTATTTCCCACTAATAATAATATATTATTATTATATTTTCTATTGCTGATATTATTTCTGCCAGAAATTATTAGGCTTTCGAGTTGAAAAAATAAATAAAAAGAATTAGGTCCCGGCTTTTCCCAAATATTGTTCATCCCATTATCGTCACTGAATGACAAACATATAAAGTAAACCAGGTTTTAGCAGTCCCAATATCAATAAGGCTTTTTGCACAAGACACAGTAAACCAAGTTTTACTCCATTTACCCCTCCCGAATTTGTATGGCCTAGGACATTTCCCAGAATTTTCCGACTTTTCACCACCATGACCAGTGAACATGAATAAATTTACCCCCCAAGGCTCCGCAATATATCCCCCCCTCTCAGACACAGTATACTATTTTCAGTTTCTTGTTAACCATACGATAAATTTTTATTGGCACGTGTCAGACAGGCCCTCTTTCTTTTTTTTCTTTTCTTTTCTGCTACCCCGCCGATCGCCGACCTTTCTCCCCGACCCCCAAGGCATATCCCCCAATCCCCACCGTGAAAGATT